GTTGGGGAGCTCCCCCCTGTCAAACACAGAGCCCCAGGGCAATCAGGGGATTGGGGAGCTCCCCCCTATCAGGCACAGAGCAGGGCTGATCAGGGGGTTGGGGTGCCTTCCCCTGTCACAAACAGAGCAGGGAGATAGGGAGGTTGTGGCCCGGCCCCCTGTCACACACAGAGCCGCAGGGTGATCAGGGGGTTTGGGCACTGCCCCCTGTCACGCTGATCCCGGTGCCGGGAGGCATATTACCCTTTTACTATATAGGATAGAGGCCTGGTGCATGGGTAGGGGCTGGCTGGTTTGCCCTGAAGGGTGTCCTGGATCAGGGTGGGGGTCCCCACTGGGGTGCCTGGCCAGTCTGGCTGAGGGGCTGAGGGCTGTTTTCCTGCTGGAGAGTGACTAAAGCTTCCAACCGCTCCTTGTTTTCTTTTCTTTTCTTTTTTTTTATTCTGGGCCAGCTTTAGCTCTGAGGCCTCGCTGGTGAAAACATCGATACAATGTTTCGGTCTGGCTCGCTTTCAGTCCGGCTGTTTTCTGGGGTTTTGTTTAGCTTCTTATTTGCAACATAGTACATAGTTGCTTAGACTTGCAGCTGAGAGGCTGGCAAGTGAGGCGGGGAACATTGGAGTCCGCAGCAAGCAAGCCTCATGCTCGCTTCAGTGCCTGGCTGCCGGCCGCCATCTTGGCTGACAGTTAATTTGCATATACTCACTGATTAGCCAATGAAAAGGGTAGCGGTCGTACGCTAATTACCATGTTTCTCTTTTATTAGTGTAGATATGACTCCATGCAGCCCTTGGGAATCTCTCCGGCACCACCAACTGGGCATGTTCAGAACTGGGAAGTTAGTAAGCTCCTCCCCTCCTTGGGTGTAGGGGCGTGGTCTTCAGCATGCGGAGGGTCAGAGGGGCTCTGGCTCTCTGGTAGGTGAAGGAATATGCCCACTGCTGTTAGAAAACTGCAGTTACAACTTTGAGTACTTTATTCAGTAAAGTTAATTTTGGCAAAAGGGCTGGTAGAATGAAACAAAAACAAAATGTCCCTATCCTATGAGAAGAGAACAAATTATTTTCAGATCTTTTTAGCATTGCTAAGATTTAAGTGCCCTTGTTCTAGAACTTCAGATTTCTAGGAAGGTAAATTTGACAATTCAAATAACGTTTCATTAAATCAATAAATCAAGTAATCTGACATTTAAAAATATGTTGTCAACTAAATCAATATTTTCTATTATTCTTAGAAAAAATATTTTAAGAAAACCCAAGGAATAAATGGCTGGGACTTAAGGCATTTCTACTATCTTTCAGATTATAAATTCTGGAAAAACAAGCACTCAATCTTTACATTTTTTTTCCCTAGAGCTTAATACAGTATATTACATAACAAATGTGTATGTCGGAATATTCTGTATTCATTTCCTTACCAGACATCAAATTCAGGTTTAATCTGATTTATTTTATGAAGAAATGACTTCCACTCATAGTAATTAGTTATGAATGGCACAGACCATATCTTGGACAATATAAAGAAAAGCCTTCCAGAAGTTAATTGAGCTCTATTAATAGTTGGTGGGTTATTACTGCATTTGTTCTATGTTCCTGTGGATGAATTTCAGTCTTGTTCAATCCCATTTTTGGCAGAATATGACTATTTTTTTCAAACCTTATTTGAATTTTGAGTAAATATCTTTCCATGGATAATGATTAATTGTTAAACTTGAGCAACCCTTTATAGAACACTCACACCCACTTAATTCTATGGATGTTTTAACTTCAAGCAATAGAGTAGGCATTTTTGCAATATAACGCATAGCTGAACATTGAAAAAAAAAGTCGGATGGACAAGTCATATAATTTTGATAATTTGAGGGCATAACCGTAATTATAGACAGAACAGTTGCATGTAAAGGCCATCCTTAAAACTTTGATATAGAAGGGAATGAGTATTGACTACCTATGCAGTTAGAACTTGCTACCATTTAATGCTCACAATAACCCTATGAAGCTAGGAGGAAAGTGAAGACCAAAGAGGGTAATTTACCGGGAACCACCCAGCTTGTAAATGGCAGAGCTGGGATTTGAAATCAGGCCTGTATGAGTTGAAAGATTGCATATTTCCTCTATACCATTCTGCCTTTATGGTTAATGAAAATGTACAAAATAATCACAATTCTTGGATACTGGCAATTCTATTTCATCGGTACACAGAAATCACTGAGAAGCTGTGGCGTTATGGGGTGAGGGGAGTCGTATCAGGTCATATTATGTTGAACAAAATCAGGATCCACTCGGGTGAACAGTGGAGAGCTCACAAAGCCATTGGAGAGTGAGTTCAGGAGGGAATTTCTAAGATGGGAGGACCAAATGCTTCAAAGTTCACTGAAGCAGAACTGCAAAGATGTGACCTATGATGGGCAGCCACTGCAGGCCTCAGTTGCTGCTGGTCTAACAGGTTGAGCCAAAGCTCTGCAGAGTCTGAAGGGCAGTGTCATAGTGCCACATTCTCTGAATAGCGCCAGAGATGGCAATCACTGGGCAGAAATCACTTGTGCTTCCTGTGGACTGAACCACTGTTTGCACAATGGACTTTTTATACACGTGCAAAACAATCACTCAAACATCACTGATTTGCTTTAGGTGGAAAACAACCTACTTGGTTACATATTTAATATTTTGCTACTTTACTGAATTAAGACTAAGCTTCTTTTGTGTTCTCAGGGCACTGAGAATACAACCATGCAAAGATGAATGTCATCCTCAAGCCAAAATATTGGCATGAGAAGTGTTGGAAAGTTTAATATAGTGTTCTAGAGATTGCATTTTTCTTGTTATACATACACACGTACATGTGTGTATATATGTGTGTATATATATATATATATATATATATATATATATATATATATATATATATTCAACTGATTCAAGGGTAAGAATGTGTTCCAAGGTAGAAATTCTACCACAGGTAAACTATCCTAAACAAAAATTCAGCTTATCAATTGATTAAGTATAATATATATTAAACAGATTATGTAACAGTTCATTTATATAGTTTCCTCATAATCTTATTTATACATCATATTTTCTTCACTGGTAATACAGAGGTAAATCTCATACTAGCACATGTGAACATGCATCCATAATTAGGGACCAAGGGAGGCAGAAGGGGGAGCCCGAGTGGGGAAGTACATTTTGTACGTAGGAGTGCCTTCATATTTCTGTGTATACTAGGCTGGAAATTAAATATGGTAACTACTTTCCTTAGAAATTTATTTTTGTAAGTTCCCAAATCTCAAACTTTTGGAAATATTCCCCTGCATGCTTACTCTTACCATATAATATGTTCAGGTTCCTGGGATTCTGCTTGTCAGAGATATATTGCCCCTAGGATGCCCTTCTTTCCATTGTCTGCCTGGAGAACCTCAACCACCACTTATTTGGACAATTTCTGTATTAGCCATATCTAGAAGTCTCCTGTATTACAGTGTTAATACATTCCAGGAGTTACACCATTCAAAATCAGGTAGAATTGTTTTGTCTATCTAGTTCTGGAGTAGCATATAATAGAAGCACAATAAAAGTTTAACATTAATTACCTTTTATTGACCAAACTAGAGGCCCAATGCACAAAATTCATGCAAGAGTAGGCTTTAGCAGCAGCGGCAGTTACCTCGATCCCTCCCTCACAGCTGCGGCCGCTGCCTTGATCCCCCGGCTGCAGCCCCAGCTTCGTCTGGAAGGACATCCAGAAGGTCCTTCAACTGGTCTAATTAGCATATTACCCTTTTATTATTATAGAAGATTAGGGATTCCCTTTCTTTTTTTTAAAAAAATGTATTTTTGTTGATTTCAGAGAGGAGGGAGATAGAAACATCAATGATGAGACTCATTGATTGGCTGCCTCCTATACAACCCCTACTGGGGATCGAGCCCACACCCCAGGAATGTGCTCTTGACTGGAATTGAACCAGGGGCCCTTCAGTCTGCAGGCCGACTCTCTATCCACTGAGGGAAGCAAGCCAGGGAAGGGTTTCCATTTCAACTAGATTACTCAGCAGTTTTTAATTCCAAGTCATGCCTTGTGTTTAGGCCTTTAAAATTAAATAAGATGGCATGTGCTATTTTAATATGTATAAGGGAAATACATATTATGGGCACAAAGCCACTGATATTCATATTAGTTAAAAAGTCCTCTTGCTACGATTAGTTCACAAGTGATAAGCATCACTAACCACTTCTGGTTACTTCCTTAGCAAAGCAGAATTAGTGGCTTGCCATTTGCTTTAGATTAAAATTTTTTTTTTTTTACATTATGGACAAAGATTGAAGTTCCTTAGGAAAATATTAAATAAGGTATTTAAATATAAACTGATACACAGGTAATTCATAACTTTAAAAATAATTTATATAAATTCTTCCATATTTAATTAATATGATCCTCTGTAAATATATTATCGTAATGGTTAATAATAAAGTGTCTGGCTAAAAGGTTCTCAGGAGCCTATTGCATGGGCTAATCATCTTTGCTGTGATAAGATTTTTAGGCTGAAATATGTAAGATTGTGATTTTACTGTTGGTGAATCTCAAATTAGTTCTTCAAAAATTAGTCAGTCCAAAAGAGATTACAGAATACTGAATTGTTGTATTCAATAACACCTGCTAAGAGACCAGGTTAAAAAAAAAAAAAGACCAAGTAAAAAATGGTATTTTAATTCCTGTTAAATTCTATACTTCTATAACATGAGTAACTTAAATTGTTCATTTTAGATATGTGAAAGCTTAAATTCTTTCTGAATTTTTAATTAACTTTCCAATTTTATAATACTTATTAAAGTTTTAGAAGTCCGATTGGCATGCATGGTTTCAACCGTTGTCTATTCTCAAGTTAGTTTTTATGAAGTAGCTTAAAATAATTGCTCACAAACGCTCTCTCAATTATCAAGCTGTTTCTCCAATGAACATATTATATATTCAATTACCCAGTCACTTCAGCAATTTCACAATTGTTTTCATATTTGCTTAATTTTCAGTTTATTATTTCTTATGCACTGTAGTTTCTAGGGGAAAAGTTACATAAAGCATTTGGAAATCCTTGGATTGCTTCTCAACCTTTTGGCTAAGAGCAGGTGTGGAGATAAACAGAAGGTATATTTAATGAGTTCATTTTTTTAATGAGATACATTTGCTGGAGACAGAAATCTTTAAATAAAAAAGTATTAAGTTTGATATTTATGCATTTTGAAGACAATCGACAAACACTTAAGTTAAATGTTACTTATTCTTTTAAAATGTACAAATTATTTTTATCATCACTCACGCATTATTATAGCAGGGAGAACAGTAGATTGAAGTTGCAACAAATATTCTTTCAACACTTCAATAAACACAATGTAAACATTCACTTTAATAATGTTTCCTTTGTTAACACCAAACTGCACTTTTCTTTGCCTCTGGCTGAGCCATGACTAGCTGAGTAGCAACAGCAGAGTGCTGAAAGAATTTTTCAATAGCAATTTGCTTGTTCTAATTTACTTTTCAAGGTTGATGATCAGGATCACTATGTTCTTGCAAAAAGATCTATTTCTATTAATGTGATCCAATCATTCTTCTTGTTCTCATCATATTTAGTTCCCCTGGAAGCTTTAAGTGAATCAGATGTAAAGCTTTTTTCAGTTTGAACACAATCATCACTCATCAACAAGATTAAGAAATAGAACTTATATAATTTAAAAATTTTACACAATGCATATTGAAAAAGTAAAGTTTATTTCAAATGTATTAATAGTCTAATTATGTAATGGGAATTAAATCAAGTTATTCTCTACATCTTCAATAAATTTCAAAATAGCTAAATTTTCCCAATCTCCTTTCTGTGAGGGACTTTGTATTAGTTCCAATATGTATAGTTCCAATATTCAAAGAGCCCTAGCTAAGTGATTTGTAAAATTCAATGATATTACTTCACACTAAATAAAACAGGCCAGGAAAAGAAACTCTTCCTTCAATCACCGGAAAATCAACAAAGTTAACAATATAAATAAAATGGATCACATTTATGCAGGCTGTGCTTCTAAAAGGGAAAAATCACAGGGTTTAAAAATAAATATTGCCATTAATTATCTCTTTATAACCTGCAGAGGGCACTCAAGTCCCTTGAGAGAAAAAGTGAACATTTTAAGAGGGATAACAATATTCTTTTACAAAACTATCATTTAAAAAGACATTTAAAGGAAACATACACTTTGACTTTACATGTTGACGGATTATTAAAATATACAAATTTTCACATATCCTATTGGAGAAACAATTCATCAGGTGGTTTCCATCCCAGGGCACCTGTCAATCTGTAAATGCTAAATGCTGTGCATCATATATTAGCACTACACTGCCAACAATTGTGCAGATTAGCCAGGGTCTTAGAGAAATCAACCTGGACCTCAGAGCAGCCTGCTTACAAGACAATAAACTAGTCATAGAGATATGGCCTTGCACTGCTGCAGGCTATATGTGGACAATATTATCATACCTCTAAAACAGTTGATGAAAAAAATTAGAAGCTAGCTGAAGCTCAAAAAGTTTTAATCATTTGTAACAGTGATCTCATGAATTCTTTGGAAATTTTTATGTTAATGAATCTCTTCATTACTATTAACTAACACTGTGTTTGGAGGAAAGATATTTGAATTATTTCCTCTGACATGACACTTAACATATGTATTATATATACATTACATATACATACATGTACATATGATTTATACAGATTCTGATACATATTTCAAAATATATTGCAACATTTCATTAAAAATATTTACTGCATAGTGAATTATTAAAAATACTAGTTTTCTTAGCAACATGCCTTTCATCTTATATTTTTTCTGATCCTCAATTTCTGTGATTAAGTAACCGGCTATCAAAAGATATTTGGAAAGTTTGGTTACTAAATTGAAACAGGAGAGGCTGATACCCAGGGAAGTTAGAGGTGCTTCTTTGAGTCATTGTTTCAATTTAGAAATTGGGTCACAGAGACTTTGGAACAAAATAATGTATAATTATGTAAATACATAACTTGTATTGCAAACTGCTACTAGAATAATGAACAATTATAAAGCATTTAAAATGCTCTGTCTATAATAACATTAATCACTAATAATAACAGTATTTAAAAACAAATTTTTGTTAAAAATTATTTTCTTTTTTAAGGGTCTTAAACTAAATGTGGAATAGATCCGCACATTTGATATCTTGCAAGATAAATTTTGACAATGGTAAGTCTTTAAAGATGAATTTTTTGAGAAACCGTAGCACAAAACGTATCTTAAAATGTTATTCTTAAAATATTGTGCAAGATTCCAAAGAATATTTCAAAGTCTTAAAGTTATGGAAGAAGAGGTACACAGCTAAATGGAAAGGAAGGCAGAAAAATAGTAAACAATGCTGTGGAAATGGTTAGCTTGATAATTTAAAATAATTACTTAGAAGTATTCTTGTAATAGCATCATTTACCTTCTTTATGAACAAAAACCTTCATTCTGAAAGTGAACGCAATTATTCTTATTATGGGAACATAAGTTGTTTTCCTCAAGAAAGGACAAAAATATTTAAATCAAGTTAACAAATAAAGCCTTGAAATCAGAAGTCTTAAGATGAATACTTGTGTATTACATGTTTCCGCAATTGGATTTACCACATAGCATGACCTTTTTAAATGGGATGAGGGTGGGAAGAAACCATGCAATTTAATAAAACTGAAGCATGTTTTTCAACCTAAATTGTAGTGACTGCTTTGATTTTTGGGCTATCTCAGGGTCAATGAGTATATTCTCTAGTACATGAAACAAAACTAGAAGATATACTTAGAATGTAGTCTTTCTTCTTTTTTCAAAGACTATGTTTCCTAAAAATCATTGTTAGACAAAGCAAAAAAGAAATGTTTGTTCTGTTACGTAAGAAATAAACTTCATTTGGTATTCAATTGACTTTCTAACTTAGCAGACAGGACTTTACATCTTCAAATACTGAAAATAAATTGCATTCTTGGCCCTTGCTTTAAAAGGTTAGAGAGAATAAACGCACACCCTGGTAGTGTTCTAGTGATCTCCCTAATCTCAGTTGCACTTTGTCAGAACGAGGTAACTGGTAGTTAAGTGAAATACCCTAGATCAAAGGGGGATTAATCACCAACTGAATCCTTGCTGAATAAACCTGTCATTCAAGAAAATTATTTCCACTGAACTTAGCAGAGGATTGAAGGTATTTGCATAACAGGGACCAACGTACTTCAGCCAGGTTAAAAGGTTCAGAATTTATCCTATGTTTAGCTTTTTGCCTCCTTTTCCTTTCAGCAGCATGGTACAATGGTTTCTAATCTGATAATACAGCCAACTATCTAAATGATGTCAGAACAGGAAAGTATTGCAAAGTTTGGATGAGGGATGGATCAATTTCACTTTCAGTAACTCCTAAATCTGATTTGTTGGAATTTAAGATGTAATCCTAAAAAAGTCCCTTAAACCTGAGGACTGTTTATTAACATCCCTTTCCTGACCTTTGTCTTAGAAACAACCGTTCTGCTGTGGCAGCAGTCCCTGCAGAGGCTCTGGATGCAAACTCGACCTCCCTCCCTCCCAGGGGTGGTGTAGGAGTCTATGAATGGCTATGAAGTGGTTTGAAATACTATAATAAAAAAAAGGAGAATATTAGCTGTTGTTATTATGTACAAAATTGTGTTTCGAGAGACCTTAAATTATACAATACATAAAATCACAATTTCAGCTCAAATACTTAGTTGGTGTAAAACAGAATTTTATAAGACAGACTAATGTTTAATCAAGAAAACATTTTTAAACAAATAATTCTCTTAAGAATTTTTGACAGGGCTATTTACTTCAAACTTGATATTTAAATCAATTATTTTAAGAAAGTTAAAAAATGCCCACCTCTGTAAGGGCTTAAAAAAGTTTAAAAAATATTGTTTAGAAAAGAAAGATTTCACCAAAATCATGAACCATTTTTTCTGGAGCACATTTTCAGAAATTTAACACTTTTTGTACCATTTGGATCTACTGAAGAATAATTACCTATATGACAGATAACAGATTTCATAATCATATTTTGCACTAAAAAGGAATTTAGCAATTTTGCATCTACAGTAGGTCTGATACCATCCAAATCTTTGGAAATAGGTGCTCATATTCACTGCAAACGCAAAGCATCTTTCAAGTTAAAAAATGCAAAGAATAGTTATCAAAGAAAATGAATAAAATCCATAGTGAGATAATTTTTTAGAAAATGATTGAAGTTTTAACCCAAGAAAGGACTCTTAAGAGTGTCTTATAGCTTAGAATAAGAACATGTCAATCACGATTAAGCTTCTGGATCGGAATCCCTTTGAAATGCAGCTGTTTCTTCTTTAATTGTGGCAGCGGAGTCTGAAGAAAAGAAAGGTCCAGCCTTAAAGATGAGTAAGGAATACAAAATAGCTCAGGATTAGTTGTGGAGTTCAAAGGTCGCTAATTACACTAAGGAGTTCCCAGACACAGGGAAAACATTAAACAGGTCACCTACCAAACGGGAAGCAGACTTTGTCTTCAGAAATTATCCCGAAGTGACAGGTTTCTAGACAAAATCAAAAGCATCACAATGTGTCCAGCTGATCTCAACGGGAAGAAAGCAAGAGCTGGTTTTAGTTTTGTAGCATTATGTTAGAATGGAATGGCAACAGATGGCCTTAGGTTGCCCATGGCCCCACACTTTTCCAGTCCGCCCTAGATTTTCCTCAGGTTTCTAGAAATGTCAAACCAGATTCACTGGTTTTCTGATTGCTTATAGTTTTCCCTAGGGGATTATTATACTGAATCTCTGCCTACTCACTAGATAAATGACTCTTGCCTATCTTAGTGTACTTTGCTGAACATTTATACAATCAAGATGTCCAAATGGTTCTATTAATATTAACATAAATTAAATATAAGCTTTCCTTGAGTTAAAGAGGGATCAAATGACTAAAAGGGAATCATTTTTTTTATTCTTTCAAAAGGAAGGTTTTTACTACTATGATTAAGCTAGACTAGTAAGTTAAAGTCCTGATCAGGCAGTTATTCTATTTCCTGTGTTACTAGGATAATTTTGAACAGAGAACATTATGCCACAATAATGCCTTGCAAAAAATAAGAGTTTATAATGAGTAGGATTGACCTTAATTAAAAAATCACATTTCAAATCCTAAATTTATATGCAATATCCCTTCAAATTATCACAATTCCCTTTCAAGGAGTTAGCAGCTTTTTCTAAGCTTTTCCTTAAGAGACTCATTAAAAAATAGAAACTAAGATATAATTTAATTGAATACTAATCTGTAATGTATATTTTTTCATAACACTTCTGATTGTGTTCCATGAAAAGAAACTTGACATGGATTAAGATTTGAGGATCTTGAGATTTTATCTTTTCTTGAATGGTCACTTAAAGTCCAACTTGACAATGAACTGCTTTGAAAACAGAATGAGACATATAATTGTCAAGACAGGTAAAGAATAAAGAGTATGACTAGATGATTCCTGAGGAAACTAAGATAATGCTAATAGAGTGATAATGACAAATTTAAAGAAATATGCTATATGAATTTTTACCTGAATTTATTCATTAATGAATAATAATAAAATATGAAAAAGGCAATATAATACCTAAATTTATCTTTAAAAATTTGGCTGCACACATTAAGTGATCACAAAACACCATGCTCATCTTCTGAAGATATACCACCCCTCTTACTATTCTTATTGACACCCTAAAGCAAATTGTTATTGTGGCAGATAATAAGCTTACCTGAAAAGTAACTCCAGAACAGAGATAAACACCTTAACTAGAATTATGCAGATTCTTTATAAGTCAATTGGGTAGTTCTGATTAAGAACAGTTTACTATTTAAAGAATTTTGCTTTGTTTTCATTGGCTGTTTGTTTTTTTTCCCTCTCAAGAGATTTACAGTTGTTTCTAATGTGGTCTCTGGCATTCTGTAACAACACAATGTACTAGAAGCTTGGTACTCAGGTTCGGAACAGCAATCCATCAAGAGTGGCTGCCTGCAGGTCTGAACTGAAGAGGAACCTGAGCCTGTATCCAGGAAGCTCAGTGGAATAAAAGGGCTGCAATCGATTAGCCATGTCTGCCGTAGGCACAGGAGGGAACATGTGGCAGGGTAACTCAGGACTAGAATCACCACTGGTTTATGCTCTGAATCATAGTTGAGAAAAATCAAAGAATAACAAAATTGGAGACATTAGTCTTGAAAGTGTTTTTTTGCCAAACTATGTCAGACTAAAATCATCAAACAAGAGTATTTTTATAATTAAATCATTTAATGTTTTCTCATTCATAGGTTATATGCATACACATTAAAAATAAAAGACTATGATTTAATTTAGGCTATGTTACTATTGTATAAGCCTTATTTAAACATGAGATAATTACAGTAATAATGATCCATATGTTACTGGAGCAGGAGCTTTAGAATTCCAGATGTAATAGTCAGAAGAAATTAGTTTCCGGTCTGAAAAATAAAAGAAATAAATGATCAATGTTAATAAATTGTATTAACAAAAATTCAGTAAGAGACAGATATTTTAAAGTTGTGGAATACAATTATTTCAAGGAAGGCAATACTTTGAAATATCCATTTTAATTTGACTTTTTCAAGGCATTATTATAACTCTTACCATTTCAAAAATTTGGTTTCACTAAAACATTTAAATAATCCATGTTTAAGTTTATTTTTTGTCAAATTTATGCCAAAATCCCTCATTTATGTCAAATCGGCCATTTCCCCTCCTCACATTTTCCCTAAATTTTGTTTCTATGGATCATTACTTCAAGCACAAAAACAGTAAAAAAAATTTACATTGGTTTCCCTTTTGTAACCTCTTTACCAAGGTCCTGATTTTGATCTTGCAATTATTCTCTACCCATTGAAAGTTTCAGAGATAGAACTTTCTAAAAATGTTTTTAAAAGATTGCTTCAGTGGTTTCTTTTCTTTTTTTTAATTTTATTATTTTTTTTTATTGCTTAAAGTATTACAAAGAGTATTACATATGTCTCCCCCCGACCCCCCTTGACATTCCCCCGGTCTCCCCTACCCCCCAGAGGCTTGTGTCCATTGGTTATGCTTATATGCATGCATACAAGTCCTTTGGTTGATCTCTTACCCCACCTCTCGGCTTCAGTGGTTTCTTATAGTTCTGATAAAATCTAAGCTTTTTGCTTTAAGAGCTTTATAACTTTGGACAAATGACAGCTTTTTTTGAAGTAACGTTTTTTGCTATGTAAAATTAAGATAATGCTCATTTGGAGCTAGACACCTGTAAGTTCTTATCACATACATCACTAAATATCTAATTTTGCCTTTTCTACCTTTCTTCTTCATGCCCTTCTTCATAGTGAAAAGGATATAGTTAGGATATATTACCTTATCTTTCTATTTATTTATTTTTTCCCAGTTTGGGAACTTAGTGACACTGAGAGGCAACATAGCATATTGGTTAAGCGGCCAGGCTTCAGAGCTAGACTATGTGGGTTTGATTCCTAGATCTGCCATTTACTAGTTATGTGACTCTAATCTCTCTGTTCCGTCAACATCCTCCTCTGTAAAATGGAAATAACACATAATAGGATTATATAAAAATCAATGAGTTAACACATAAAATACTTAGAATTGTTCCTGGCATACAATAAGCAATACATGTTAGCCCTTATTATTTAAGTTAACATTTTGCATTCTGTATTCCATAGATACATTCTAAAATATTGGTCTGTTTGAATTTAGATGAAACCACTGGTTTGTCCAAACTGACATAACTATATTATGCCTTCACATACATACATACACACACACACACACACACACACACACACACACACACAACATTATGAAGACCATTCTACATATAATCATCTCTTTAAAAAACTGCCCCAAAAAAATGGTGCAGGAGAAAATAGGAAAAACCTTAAGAAGGTAAAGAATATGACATTCTAATTACATTACACAGAACTTATTATTGTCCTTAACAAGTAATTGCTTAGAATCCTGAAGTAATTAATACTATTATTTCCATTTTACAGATGCGGAAACTAAAACTTTGAAAAGTTAACTTGCCTAAAATTACACAGATAACAAACTGTCTGAGCTAGACTTAAACCCTTGTCTGTCCAACACCAAAGCCCCTATGAATAACCCCTGAAAAAAAGTGTATATTATAAACAGAGCAAAATAAATCCAATTTTAAAGTCCATCTCTACACCAATTCTTGCCCATCCAGATAATTTCATAAACAGAAGAAGGCAGAGGACAATATAAAGTACACAAACTCTTACACAGAATAGGATCGGGCCAGAATTTTATAAATTGGGATTATTCCCTGATCTTTTTCAGTTACATTGTAATTTTACCTTAGGTAATAACTGTATAACATCATTTTAATTCCCTCAAGTTAGTATGAATCTATACAACTTACGTGTGCTTATTTTTGGTTTTCCTGATGCAAAAACTTGAACTGAATGCTGGTCCGCGTAACACCCAGTAAGTGTGTAATCTAAGATCCTAAAATGAAGCTAGACAAAGAAGAAAAATGTACCAAATTGAGGGGATTCTTTGGTAAAAATAAAAGGTCACATTACTTTCCTTGATGCAATTTTGGGAATTCACGAAGTTCACAAATTTTAAATCACAAATATTGAAGCTGAACATTGTGTGTGTGTGTGTGCATATGTATACATATACACACACCATTTCCCCTTTGCATTAGGGTCATTTCCTTGTAAGGCTGGCATCATCACGTCCTTCACATATACCAGGCACTTCACTAATATGAACTCTGACCCTTACTGCAAGGTATCCTTATTGTATAAATGAGAGAACTGAAGTTCAGAGATGAAAGCAATTAGAATCCCAGCATGTAAGTAGCAGAGCTGGCACTTGAACTCAGACCTGACTGATTACAAAGCTGATGCTCCTTCCCCTATGGTGTCTGGTGTTCTGGATATTCTCTTCTACCTCTAAGGCTATGTGGTTGTGATATATTTAGATCATAATTCTTCTACAGGCAGAAACATATATATCTTCTACCAAACCACAAAAATACAATTATGAAAAGAAAAACACCAGTTTATTCTGGTGTTCAGAAGAAATGAGATGCTCTACTTAATTTTCCAGAAAAATGAACTTTATCTTTTATATAACTAAACTTAGAAATCACCCCTTCTCTCACCTATAAAACCTTTCTAAAATGTAATCCATAGGTCTCGGATTTAATTGATAATATTGTGTCATCAGTATAAATGCCAATTATTATGTGGGATTCTAACAGCAAGGGCCATTAGTACCTTCTCTGAAAGCATAGCCCTGGGTGCCTGAGTCACAATGATATTCACATTAACCATGAAGGTTCTATATCTTACAGAGCTCCAGTCCCCTCGGTTCTCTTCATCTTTGCTGCTAAAAGTTCCTGATTTTGCAATACCCTGATAACTTTTTTTAATACTTTTTCTTTCTTCGATCTCCCTTCCTTGCAAATTTCCCCTACTTCCTAACTTTCTCATTTGATTACAAAACTGATCACTTGCATAGAATGTAATTTCCAGATCTTTACAATGTCTTTCCTGTTGCAACTCAAATTATCTCAACCACAAAGGGCTTTTAATTGCTTGTTTAGCATAATTCTGGATGCTGAAAGTTATGACAAGGTTGATTTCCAAAAAGCTAGATATTATAAAAATAAGTCTATTTAGTGAACACAAATATGTAGTACATGCTTTCAATTAAACTGTATCTGGTTAGGTGATGGAAATGAATAGAAAAGTCATAATCCCTACCTTTGAAAGACATACAATGTAGTAACTAACATCCCACATTTTTTCTGAAAAATATCTGGAAGCAGGAATATTTATAATAATCCTTGAAACAAAGCTTGTGGACATAGTTGAAATTAAGACAGAAGAAATGAATGTCACAAGTGTACTTCTGACTTCAGAAGTACTAATGCTTTTATGTATGGATTTCAATCTCTCTTCTTTGATACTATTCTATTTAGATTTTGCTGTTACTTTTGATCACCTCTTCAATTTCCTTCATTGGTTCTTCCGAATCCCTTATTCTCTCTCTCTTTTTAAAAAAATCTTATTTCCACTGACTCGACTATTTCTTTTCCATGGAGAACTCCTAAATCCTATATATAGTTGAGCTCCCTCCTGAGAATCCTGCTCCAAGTTTTTAGCTACCTTCTGAACACTTACACTGGGATACACTGCTATCACCAGCAACATTCATGATATGAAGCCCGCTCCCTCTCAACTTTCTCCACATCAGTATTTTCTTCTAACTACTATACTGATCCATTCATCAAATATTTATTGTGGCAGGTATTGGACTAGATGTTGGTAGTAAAACAATGAATGAATGAGACTCACATGGACTCCACTCTCTTGGAGCCTCAAGTCTTGTTTAAATTACATACATTTTTAATAATACCATCTTTGACTTTAAAGTACTTATTGTCTCTATATTTAATTAGTGACCAAGGCTTTATGTTTATTACAACTCCTACAGCAGTCTCTTCCTTTTATTCTCATCCTTTCTCTTTCTGTGACACTACAGGAACTCGGCATCATTAACTTACACCTTTCATCTGGAATACTAATAGAGCTAAAAAATAGTTTGTCTATAGTTATTTTTTTCTCTCACCTTCTTCACATACATTCCAGCTTAATCTTTATAAAGTATCACTTTCTGAAAGACCATTCACTCCCCTACTCAAAAAAATTATAACATTTTCTAATAAAGGAATAAAAATTAGATTGAAACCCTCTACAATCCACACCTAAACCATGTATCCAGCCTTATGTGCTACTATTGTTCCTGGTACTGGTTCCTAAGCATGCTTTGTTACCCTTCAATCTTCTATGTTATCTCTTTAATTCATACAAATGTTAGTCTTCATGGCTTCACATTCATGCTTATCTGGGCCTCAGAGTTTTGCTTAAATTCCATTTCTACTGCAATGCTTTCCTTGACCACATTGGTCAGAAGCGCTCACTTTGTCTTTGAAATACCAAAAGCAGTTAGCACTGATCAATTGTTGACATGGATTATTGAAAATAACTTTAGGGGAAAAGGACTACATTTTACATTTTTGGTATACAAATTTCACATGTGATCATGATAGCTGGGCAGAAATAGATTAAGGTGAGGTGTTTAGGTCATAGTTGCCTGCTTCACCTTAAAGGTTTTACAGTATTAAGTGAAAAAGAAAGTTACTAACACTAAACAAAAATAATCTCACAAAAATAAAAAAGGAACAGCACAGACAAAAAAAACCCCAGAGTTTTAAAAAATTACTAGAAAACATTAAAAATCAATTAGGTATATGTAATTTAGAAACAAAGGAAAGGTTTCTAAGGGAGTGAGTTATTCAAATATGTTTACCTTTAAATATGCTGTACCCCCAATGCAAATGTGGTCAAATGGCTGCTTCTCATGGCTCTTGGCTCCAAAAGTTACAGTTCCAGAAAGACTAATTTCCATTGATTTTGGGAACTTCTGTCCTAAAAACAAAAATTTACCAATCAAATAGCCTAAATTAAGTAGATTCTAAAGCAAATGAATGAAAAATAATCAATAAACAAAACCTGGCTCACCAATAATCCAGATCAATAAGCTTTTCTCTCGAAATACTTCGAGCTGGCCAAAACTAACTTTGTATTCCACATGTGTGATTGGACCTCTTTAAAAAAGGACACAATACAAAAAAAAAAAAAAAAGTCACAGATATAACAATTTTAAGAAATCTAAGTCAAATCTTGCTACTGTTACTTAATACAAGGGAAGCATAAAAGCATTTCTATATCCAAGTTGGCAGAATAGAGTAGAACAAATAATATTATATCTCAAAAAATGCCAGAAGCACAATAAACATTTTGGTGATGACATGTATTTCATTATTAATTCTAAAGATAAATATAAAATCATATAGAATATATTACTAGTCACATATTGACATAACATTAAAACTATAATTTTAATATACATTTAGATACACTTTGCAAAGAACTATGCTGCAGTACGAGTTTAAAAGTAGAATGATGAGGAAGTACAGTTGACCCTTGATTAACATAGGTCCCTACACAGTTCAAACCTGTGTTGTCCACAGGTCAACCTTTTCAATCTATAGTTGGGAATCCGCAGGTGTGGAGGATCAAGTGTTGATAAGTTTTTGAGGAGCCAAAAGTTATACATGGGTTTTCCACTGCATAGGGTTGGTGGCCCAACCCTCAATTGTATATGAGTCAACTGTAATCTTATGATATGATTGATTTAATTCACCAGATAGTTGATAGCAAGGCTTGACTTATATAGAGTAGAGAGAAATCGCTAGAAATAACGCTAGGAGTGAAACAATCTCTGAGAAAGCTATGCTGGCTTATGTTTATATTTACTAGCATGTTTAACCAGAAAAATAAAGACACATTTAAAGGTAGAGATTATTTCTATCACTATGTTTTGGTTCAGAATCAGCATTCATTTGAATAGTACTTAAAAAATCTTATAAGGAAGGTTAAAAACAAAGACAGGTAATTCACTGTAGGGCAGTGGAAATGTACTAAGGAAGGCAGAAATCATGGCATCATGTTATTTTATTCCTACCTATTGTAAAATGGTATATGAGCTTCACAGAATTCAAAATTATTTTTCACACTTTCATGAAGTTTTAAATTAACTGTTATTTTTAGTTGTACTTCTTCCTCTTTCATTTGATAAAAGCCTAAAATTGGTGGGACAGGAACCTAGAAATAAACATATACAAACTTTTACATAATTGTCAGGTTAATGGGTCTAAAATATCAATGGCAATTGAGAAAAAAGTCTTGCAGTAATATACTCATTATTTAAAGATACATCTTTAATGACTAATGGGTTACTCCAAGCTGCTTGGATAATAGATGATGGAGCTACATTCGTTGTAAAGGCAAAGATTCTTCCACCTCTTTTTGTTTCCAGAGATGAGAAAGGTGCCTGACAAAGGTGTGCAATTCATTTTTACATTCTTTTTCCTACTCTTGCTCATCCAGGTTCCCCTCTTTCAGGTTCTCTATGACCTGCCATTTAGGACAGGCAGTGACACTCTGCCCACAGTTCCTGTTGCCCCATTTGTATACTCTGACACCCCAGCCCACACCCAGCTCAGCAGCTTACTAAATTGGTTATCAATAATTGATTGAAATTGAGACAATCTGTAAGCTGGGGTGAGCCCATCAATATTTCTAGTACATCTGAAGTAAGAAATAGGAAGGACCTACTTTTACAGTACCCGTCCTAGTACTGGAGGACATATGCAAGCTGAGAAAGCTAGGTGGAAGGAGACTGAGAAGCAGAGATGCACAGACAGTGTAGACCTTGAGTATAGAGTGATTTTAATTTTAATTTCTGATTCTAGTTTCAGTAAAGCCTGGGTCTACTTCCTATCCTTGAATGACAATGAGATTGCCTCTTGTCTTCTCAAAGTAAATTCAGTTTACTTAAGCTAGCTTGAGTAGGTTTTTCTAAACCATTGATTCACAATTACAAGAAACAAATGGTAAAGTAGGTTTTGGAGTCTGGAAAATTTGGGTTCAAATCTAAGCTCTGCTACTTATCAGTTATATGACCTTGCACAAGCCATTGAACTTCTCTGAGACTCTCCTCATCTGTAAAGCGGGGATAAAAATACAAGGGTTTTGAAAGTGTTAGAGAAAATACATGTAAAGTGCCTAGGACAATGTCTGACACAGCAGTTTTTCAATAAGCAATAAACAGCTATTAATAATAATATATATTTGTAACCACAGCTGCCTAGGATTAAAGGCATTTTTACATGTTCATGGTTCAAACCATAATTATACCAAGATCTTCCCTATGACCATAAACTCCTTATTTGGGAACATTAAAAAAAATTCCATGACTTTGAAAACATTAAGTGCTGTTACAGACACCAGAGATAAGAGACATCTTATTCAAAGAAATGAATCTTAATTTTCATTCATCTGGTAAATAACTCATGAAAAGTTCTCCTTTGGACCAAATGTATGAATGATCTGCAAAGTCTCAACTTTTTCAAGGTTGTTTACCTGGGAAGTGTAGTAGCACAAGTTGAATGATTCTAAAGGTGGAGTGAATGGAAATTTGTAAGGTCCACTAAATGCAGAATCATCCATTGCATCAATGCTACTAGAAGTCAGAATGGCAGAGTCAAGAGAAGTCACACAAGGATGAACTAGAATATCCTGAAGTGGAGATCCATTGGTGGGGAGACTCAAGCTGATGGTAACATTTGGCATGATTCCTTCTAAATCACACTGTAATACAAAAGGAAAATTATTACCAAGATCTTAGAAGCAAACATCTTCTGGGCAAGGCTTTTCAGAATTTATCTGATTCATTTTCCACAACTTACTTTTCTCTTAAGACATTGTTCTCTTTGCTGTCTGTTCTCCTTAATAGTGTAATCATGCTCTCAGACACCCAAGCCAGAGACTAGGAGAACCTTCCTGGAATCCTCTGCTTATATTTTCAACCCTTAAAAAGCTATATTAAACCCAGTGACTTCTCTCCATTCTTGTTGCAAACACATTGGTATAGGACCTTACAATTTTGGTCATAGTCTTCTAAATGTATTTAGATTTGTTTTCCTCTAATCAATCCACCCTCCATTAGTGTCATTATCTTAATGAAACATAATTTTAATTATACTGTATCCATGCTCAAAACCTTTCAGTAGTTGCCTCTCAGTTTTGTATTACTTTGAAAGCCTTTCATTGTTAGGCTCCCACCTACATCTTCAATCATTTCTACCCTGCAACTAATGCTGTAGACATAATGAATTCTTGAATTTTCTTGAATAAGTCATAATATCCTATACTTCCATGCTTTTTATGTGCTATTCCCTCCAGCTACAATCTTTTCTCTTTGTAACCTCAGTTCATGTGATGCTTTGTGTGAGCCTTACATTCTGTATTGTCAGCTCCACAGCCTACCTCTGCAATATAGAGAAGCTCAAGATCTTTTTTCCTATGTGTTATGGGTTAGTTTGCCAATGAGAGGTAATGAGAGACTTGGAAGGTAGAGGGGAAAGGGAAGTCAGTATTCTAGAAAGGTCACGGAAGCTAGATTCGACAGCTTCACAGACCTGTTTTCTTCACATCCTTAGTGTCTAGCACATTGCTATGTACGAGACACTAAAAAAAAAAAGTTTGCTGAATGGATATAGTTTTCTAATTATGGAGCCTACATTTGTTTTCCATTTTAATCTGAAATATTTCACCTTTTTCGTTTTATCTATTGACTGACATATATATAAATTCAAGAATATATGTGCTATAAAATGTAAGTACGTAGAGACTAGGCAGGCATATAAACAGTACCATGCATAACTACTGTCTTATAAAGGTCTTTCAGTGACAGTTACAATAATATCAATCACATTTGAAAATAAAAATGCCATATACTCTTACTATAAAACTGAAAAATATTTTAGTGTTTTAACTTCTACACCATCTGTCATTTCATCTCCATATATAAATTAGCAAGAAAAAAGGTTTTGTTTTTTGACAGATATTTATAAAGATAACAAAATATGCAAATATTAACAGCAAATACTATTATAATTTTAAATCAGTCAATTTATATTTATTTAATTAGCTTCTAACATTCTTACAGGGATCAAGAAAATGCAGCCATTATGGAAACCACCAACAAATTATCTGCTTCCTAAGCATTTAAAATACCAGATCACCAGTCATTTATTATAGAATGAGGACATCCATTTTAGAAGAAATTTATGTACTACCCTTTAAACCAATCTGGCATATGTAAATGTGGACTTTTAACTAGAAATTATAAAACAGAAGGGTCTAGGAACTTACTTGATTTTAAAAATAAGAAAAAAAATTTAAGAATTAAGATTTTTCCAAAGACATGGAAAATTAGCGGTAAAGTGGGGACTAGAACTTTAGTCCACTGGTTTTTGGTTATCTACTAGTACTAAGATAAAATGAGGATAATTACTTCCATTTACAACAGGCTTCACAATAAAACTTTGTATACTAAGCTTCTGAGGTACTTAAAAAATGTTTGGCTAACAGATATACTATTTACATACAAGTTTAAAGAAACATTTAATATGTGGGTTAAAGTAGAGCCCTACTCTTTTTACTTTTAGAAGAAAGTTTTTTGAAGAAGAAAGTTTTCCATAACTTGTATCAGACAAAAAAACAGAAATCGACCCAAAATTCCAATACACAATAAACTAGGGTCAGCTTATTAATAAGCTGAGACATTTAAACACCATAGTATTAATTAGTAGTAAATTATATATAACACTAGAGGCCCAATGCACAAAATTCATGCAAGGGGCTCTGCCCTCGAAGCCCCAGTTTCATCTGGAAGGTCATCCAGAAGGTCATCTGGACAGCTGTTCTGCTGTTTGGTCTAATTAGTATATTAGCTCTTTATTATATAGGACTAGAGGCCTGGTGCATGAAATTTGTGCAGGTGGGGGGAAGAATCCCTCAGCCTGACCTGCACCCTCTCCAATCTGGGAGCTGCAGTCTGGCCTCCCTCTGCAGGAGGTGACCGGGCTGATCAGGGGAAGGTGCCGCCCCCATCACCCCACTGCTGCTGTCACTGCTGGCCGCCACAGCCGCCAAGGTGTTTTCATCAACATGGACTCCAGTCCCTTCACCACAAAAAAAATGACAACTTTCTTTAGGCATTTTCAAGATGTCTCTTTCATAGGATATGACATTTCTTTCTTTCTTTTTTTTTTTAATCCTCACCTGAGGATATTTTTCCATTTATTTATAGAGAGTGTAGAAGAGGGAAAGACCTCACCATGCACGCAATCCCCTCCCGCCCACCTGCGTGTGCAGCCTCCTCCTGAGCGGTCATGATGTTACAGTGTCCCGGACAATTTGCATATTACCTCTTTTTATATGTATATACATATATACACATACACTAGAGGCCCAATGCACAAAATTCGTGCAAGAGTAGGCCTTCCTTCCCCCGGGTGCCGGCACTGGCTTCCCTTTATCACCCGGGACCCAGGCTTCCCTCGCAGCCCCGGCTTTGTCTGGAAGGTCGTCCAGTCTAATTAGCATGTTATGCTTTTATTATTATAGATAAATAGTTACTAGAGGCCCAGCGCACAATTGAAATCACGCAAGGAGGCACCCCGCAGGGGGCCGGGACCTGCGCCTGACCCACATAGCACCGGCCACCATGTTGTGTCAGCTGGGGTGGGGATGTGCTCCAAGCCGCGAGGCCACTCGGAGCATGCCCCCCGTCACTGCATTGTATCTGCTGGGGTGGGGGCAGGCGCTCTTATGTGTTGTGTCTCCGCTCCAGCACGCCCCCAGCCCCAGCCTCTCCATGTGTTGTGTCTCCACTCTGGCCCACCCCCAGCCCCAGCCTCCCCACGGCTGCTGGGGTGGGGGCGGCACACAGTCCCCTCCCGCCCATCTGTGCACGCAGCTCCTCCTGAGCGGTCACGATGCTTGGCTAATTAGCATATTCCCTGTTTAATAGATAGATTCCCTATTTATTGTCACAGAAATATAAGAAAAAAGACTTCAACTGTGTTAAGACTTACAAATAACATAACCCACAAACACCTCAACATTGGAGCTATTTATAGTTCTGATAAACTTAATAACTGCTATGTATTTTTGATCATGATGGAAGTGAGTTTAAACACATATATTCATAAATCACTTTAAGGTTAAAAGGAAAAAGGAAGACCCTATTTGTCCCAGGACCTACTTCTCTATTCTTGAAATCTACTTTTATCTATAGGATTTGTATATAACCATTCAATATTAAGTTTGATATATAAAAAAGTTTATATTCATAAGTACAGAGAATAAAGGACGATAGAAAAATAAAGGTATCTGAGAATATTAATATCCACTTGTAAAAATTGTACTTGGAGGTTTTTATTTTAGATCATTATTCAACATGGTACTGATCACTGCTATCTATTATTATTTCTGTTGACTTTTCCTACTTTCTAACCAGAGAACCCCCATATTAACTCATTGACTTGTTTAAATAAATCAAGAGCCTTTCAAAATAGCTTTAGATATTAAATCCGAGGTTTGTCAATTTCACCCCTTCTAGAGAAAATGGAAAACAGATATGGTGGTTTTAAAATATCTTCACAAATTATTTGACTCTTTTTAAAAGATGAAGCCTAATTCCAGTCCCCTTGAATGCAGACCAGACTTAGTGACCTGTTTCTAAACAACCGAAAATGGTGGAAGTGAAGCTATCTAACCTCTCAGTTTTGGTAATAAAAAATATAGCTTCTACTTGTGCCCCGTGTCTGTCTCTTGTCTAATCATTTGATCTACAGAAAACTAGTCACCAAGTTGTGAGGACATTCTTAAGCACCATGTTGAAAAGTCCACATGGAAAGGAACTAAGACCTCCCACCATTAACCAGTCATGTGAGTGAGCTATCTTGCAAGTAGGTCTTCCAGCCCCAATCAAACCTTCAGGTGACTACTGCTCCAGCTGAAATCTAGACTGTAATCTCATGAGAGACTCCACACCAGAAGTTCCAACTAAGTTGCTCCTGAAATCCTGATCCACAGAAATGATAATAAATGTTCTTTGTTGGGACAATGGGGCAATTCATTACTGTAGCAAGATATAACTAAGTAAGAAATGCAAAAGGATAATTTTATCAAATATGATATGAATTTAACATCTAGTGACTGCTATTTATGATAAAAATCAACAATCTATAATCATCTATAATAATGGCATAATATGCTAATTAGACCAGACAGCCAAATGACCTTCCATACGAAGCTGGGGCTGCAAGGGCCGAGCCCCTTGCACGAATTTTGTGCATTGGGCCTCTAGTGTCATGTAACAATGTAAACTAAAATTAGTAAATTTTACTTTTCTCTATAGGTGTAAATGGTATAATAAAACAAGTTCCAGAGAAAAATCTCACCTTGCAAGTGACAGTTCCGACTACTTGCCATGTATCTGCTATATCCTGTTTATCATATTGCATAGATTTTACTTTTTCAGTGATAGAAATTGAAACTTGTGGTTTTCCTTTGTATGCTCCAGCTTTCCAGGCTGGCTGCTTTTGTGGATGAGTCACAGAAGCAAAACTGATACTATCCAATGAATTCTGTAAGTTGGCATCTAGTAAAGTTCCAAATGGGCAAGCCTGTAGAAGCAAGTCAGGCAATTGGCTCAGTTTTGTATTTAGCTCAGTATCAATTTTTTGACTTGAGTAAAGAAAATCCTGTATCCCAAAAAGAAGTTCAAAGCCTTGTGAAATTGCACTAATGCTAATTAGCGCTGGACGAGGGGATAAAGTTTGTTCAACTAGTGGAACACAAGCATATACTATGCCATTCTTCAGAAAAGCAACAACTGGCCAGAGTTCTTCACCTCCTACTTTAAGTCCATACACAGATGTTTTATTGATGCGAGAACAGCTATCACGACTCTCCATGAAGTCTCTATCTTCATCCAATAATCTAAGTTCGAAGAGTAATGATTTAAGAAAGGGACCATCTTCAGGGATAGGCACATAGCTTGTTCCATTGAAGACTTTGGCTCGTTTTTCAACAGTTGGATACCGTCTGCAGTATGGAAACAAAAAACATTAAAAATTATTCTTCCAAGTAAAATAAAAATGGAAGAATCCAAAAACAAAACACAAACTAAAAACTGAAGGTAAATAGTAATAACAAAATACAAAGTAACACATACATACACACCCACGAAAGCCATAACCAAAAAAAATGTATATTGCTTGTTAAGTTCTGACTGTGGTAACTAACTGTTGCATAGTTGGTATATTATCTCAAATGATAAAGTATCATTATCTACTACTAAACATAATTTAATAATTTTTTTTAAATAGGTAGAGAATATGATTCTAATTTGAAATCCTAGTTTCTTGGCCATTGAGATTCCCACTTGGTAGGCAAGGAATGTATACCTGGACACGTTTTAGGCGTCTATAAGAACTTTACTTTCTGATACCGTCATAGTAGAGTAGGATCAAAAGAAGTGGTTTGATTTAACCCTCTACAATTTTTAGTTCACTAGTTGAGATGATACAATTACAAGAGGAATGTTCTATTCTATTTAACCTATAGTGAATAACTGGTACCCCAAGTATTCTTGCCAACCCCTAGAAAAATATATGAGCATTTTAGTAATAATGGTTTACCTCTCTGGCCCTTGAAGATAGTATGAGGTAATAAAAAAAAAATCTGAATAATCCTTTATGATTTGCATGCTTTAGGCTGAATGGTAAGTTACTAATTGATCCCTTTTTGGGGGGAATCAGAATAGAAGGTGCTTTTGTTCATTTATAGAAATGTTAGATCATATTTTCTTAGTTCAAAAAATACGTGCTTTCCCTATTCCTTACCTTCCCACAATCCAAACAAAATCAAACTCTTGGTTATTAACTTCTGTGTAAATTACCTAACTCACCCAAGTCTTTTTTTCTTATTAGTAAAATAAAGAGGTGGCTAAAGAACATACCAGTAATTCTCATCAAGGATCAAGAACATACCTTGGCCAAAATAATTTTTTTTCACTAATTGTACTAATAAAACATTGATGTTTACTAATATTGTTTAAAAAGAAAAACAATGTATTCAAATTTATCAGTGTATTGGTGATCCTTATTCATTAACATTCTGATGCATTTTCTTGGTGGAGAAAGGGAAAGAATTAGTTAGCATTCCAGTAATGTAGTTGTAGGTGGATGCCATTTCTTTCTCCGAGTCTCTGGATAAGAATAGTTGAGAACTTTGGACTAAATTCTACTACTAAACATAATTTAATAGTTAATTAAACTATTAGAACAGTGTCTTGCAATCTAGTTACTTAAAGGATAATCAAAGTTCTTAAATGCAAGAATCTAATGACTGAATGTAAACTAAGAAGTTAATCTGGGACCTTTTACAATGCTTCAATGTACGCTCAATAAATATTTTTGTTGGATGATTCAACTTGCCATTTTGGATTTATTCTAGGCCTTTTCTAAAATAGGACTCACACCTTGAGTGGCCCTACAACTATGAGGTACAATAACAACCTCAGCCAGACTTAACCTGATACTACTACTAGTATCTATCCGGGCAGCAAACCTCTAAAACAGAATCTAAATCAAGTTGCTTTTGTGGGGGAAAAAGTAGTTAGACACAGGAAAGATCATTTCTTTTTTTAAGTATTAAATTATGGCCATTATTGTTTGGCATATATGTGGGTAATATGCTAGAGCATATCTGTTTAGCCCTACCACTGGTCCCAAAAAGTCAGAAAACTGAAATAATAAAACTTAACTAATTCAGTCAACAATACAGAATAAGTGACAAATGAATTATTTGAACCAAACTTGCTGCTTCCATAAAGATGTTGAAGCGCTCAACCAAACATATCTGAATTTTTCTTCTGAAATATTCTGAGCTCAGTGGAAAAAAATTCTAAAAACAAGCATGACTTCTTCAAGGAAGTTATTTTTGTAAGCAGGTAAAAATCTTACTTCTATGAGATACTGAGATAAGCTACAAAGCCACAGTTACAAATACAGTATGGTATTGGTACGATAACAGACAAATAACAGAACTGAGACAAACCAATGGTTATATGGGAAACATAATAAACTATCAAATAGCTCCACAAATCAATGGAGAGAATATGTATTGTTTGGAAGACGATGTTGGAAAAGTGGCCCACTGTATAGAGAAAAAGAAAATGGGATTCCTATATTAATACCATATGCAAAGATGGACTATGGATAGATTAAAGATGTAAATTTAACAAATAAAATGATAAAGTTAAGAGAAGATAATGTACAGAGATATCCCGCGAAGTACTACTTTGCTTGCAATAAACAGTGATTTCTGTTTAATCAAGGGCAACATTAAGTTCATCAGCAATAAGTGAAAATACCTGTAATAGCTAAAATAATGACATAAGACTATATTTCAAGAATACACAATTAACTCCTGCACATTAACAGAAAAAAAACAGCAAGTCTCAAAGAAAAAAAATGAACAAAGGATATCTATAGGCAAGTCACAGAAGAGGAAACCCAAAGGGTTAACAATCATTGCTACACAGAGAAAATCAAATACTATTGTGGCAAAAACTGATTAGGACAGAAAGGAGATACAGGAACCCTCACTCACTGCTAGTGAGAGGGTAGACTGGAGAAAGTATTATGAAGACTCAATCATTTGGCCATATTTAGTCAAAATCAGCATAGATATGCCCCATACACCTTTTGAGGCTATCTACTACAGCACTGCTCTAATGGCAGAGTTGGAGGCAACCTGGGATACATCACTCCGGAAGAGGATAGGTAAATATCAAAGGTGTAAACCATGGATTACTACAGAGCAAGTAGAAATAATGACTTAGACCTGCACTGTCCAATTTAGTAGCCAGTAGCCACATGTGATTAAACATAAAGTTAAACAATATTGAATTCCTCACTTGCAATAACCACATTTCAAAAGCTGCATGTGGTTAGTGGCTATAATATTAGCACAGATTTAGAACATTTCCCATGTCCATCACTGCAGAAAATTATATTGAACAGTGCTGCTCTAGATGAATACAAAATAATGCTGAGAAATCTGACAAATGAAAGGAAAGGGAATGAAGTCGAAGGAACAATGATGTAATTTGAAAAATGAATACACAAACACACAAATACAAAGATAGCAACAAAGATATGTTACCTATGAGGCAAAAAGAATGGCAGAAATAAAGATACCCAAGAGAATATATAAATAAAACGAGGAGTACTTTGGATAGAACAATGAGGCTGATAAACCACACTAACGAATATTATTATCACCCTTACTTGAGGTACAACAACAAAAAGTCTGTATTGGGGGCAAATGGTAAACTCCAACTTGATGCCCTTAGGAACAAAAATTATTTAGGTTGCAAAGTGGGAATTTTTCATGTCCACATTGCCAACCACTTTTCATTTAAAATTACACTCATCTTTATTTGCTTCAATCTCACTCAGCTCTGCTACTTCACTACAGAGCTTTCCTCAGAGAAGAATGAATTTGTTGGCAATACATAAACTGTCAATAGCCACTGAGAATAAAAGGTGAAACAGATTATTCAATTGCCACCCACATTTTATGAAGTTGTTATATAGTACCCTTCACAGTTATTTTGATACACGTGGCAAATTCTAGAAATAAAACCAGATCAGCTTACACCATGTAAGAGAAAGTGAATACAATGTAATTTGGTCCTTCTTCAATTTTCTTCAACCATTAGGAGTTAAACTATCTGAAATTTTCAAGGAATGAAACATAAGATGAAAATAACAGTCTAATACTGCTCAGCAAGGATTTTCCAGAAGAATGAGTTAAAATGTCATTGACTGATTTTTAGTAGTGAAAGAAAAAAATTTAAACACGTGTAGTGCTCAGTAAGTTTCTTTCCTTTCATCTCTGTATCAATACTAAAGCAGGTGCAGTAATTTTAGACGTAGTACTACTAAATAACACTATTAGAAAACACACAATACTTAATATGTGCCAGGCAGCAACTCATTTAATTCTCACAACACGGTGAGTTAGTTATTAAAATATTCATTTAGCCCTGACCGGTTTGGCTCAGTGGATGGAGTGTCGGCCTGCGGACTGGAGGGTCCCAGGTTCGATTCCCCAGTGGGGGGTGTGCAGGAGGCAGCTGATCGATGTTTCTCTCTCATCGATGTTTCTAGCTCTCTATCCCTCTCCCTTCCTCTCTGTAGAAAATCAATAAAATAAAATATTAAAAAAATAAAATATTCATTTAACAGGTGAAATAGAGGTTACGTAACTCGCACTAGGTTTCGGATCAGCGATACACTGCATCACAAAACTGTGCTCCATGACCCATTCCTCCGACGGATCATCCCGGAGGATTCAGCCTTGCATTTACCTGGAGAATCTGACCGTGCCACCAAGTGGAGTTCCGGGTTCGTGGCTGATGAGCCACACTGCTCGCTGAGCCATGCTAAGCCGCTAGTGCATCAGTGCACCCCGCAGGCCGCCACGGAGGAAGAGCGCAGACCGCCTTTCTCAGATGGGTTCTTAACAGAAGCCCGAGGTTCATTCATCCGAGCTGCCTTCTGCCCCACCATGAACAGGTGCGGCTCAGCAGGGAAGCTAGCGCCTTCAGAAGAAGTGACGAAAGCCTCTGAGTCCGTCCTGGCCAACACAGGCCACAAAAGAGTTCTGCGAATCCACACCTGGAATCTCGAGAACTTATGCCTCCCCAGCAACCCTAGCACTTGCTTCCTCTACATTCCACTTCCGGGATGGTGGCCCACCAGGATCAAGATTCCTCACTCGCCCAGCGACGAGCCTCTCCGCGGTTCGCCGGCTGCGCGCCCCTCCCGACTGCCGAGCCGGCGCGCGCAGCTCCACTTCCGGCGTCGAGGCGGTGACAATGGGAGCGGCGCGGGCGGCGCCGGGAGGCAGCTGACAGGCGTCTGCGGCTTCGCTTCATGGCCGCTCTCCCGTCCTGCCTGGGCTCGGAGGGGAGCTGGGGAGCCCGTGGCGGCCGGGAGCCGGAGCTGGCGAGCGGAGCGGGAACCTGTGCGCGGCGCCGCTGAGGCGCAGCATGTGAGCGGAGACGGCGTCCAGCGCGAGGCGAGCCTCCCAGCCGGCCGGGATGGCTACGACGGCCGAGCTCTTCGAGGTGGGTCCCGGCGGGTCTTCGGGGAGTGGCAGGCCCGGGGTTCAGGCAGCGAGGTAGGCGGGCGGAGGAGCGGGTGTCCGCCCGCGGCCCGGAGCAGCCCTCGGAAGAAAGGTGCACAGCGGAGGGGTGGGGTGGTGGCCCCGGTGTCCGCGCGGGCGGAGCGTGAAATGGGGGCGGGTTAGATAGGGGCTCGGGTGGGGTGGCGGGCGGGGAGGGGAGCCTGGAGTCCTGAAGGGGGAGAGAGGAAGCCTGGGAGGCCGGGGCGTGGGGAGACGAATGCTGGAGGAATGAGCGGTGGGAAGGGCTGTCTCGGGCGCCGAGAGGGGAGTCTGGAGCCCCAGGCTGGGCCGGCCCCTCGCGTCGCTGGGCCCCTCGTGTGATTTTCTTGGGGCCGCCTGCGATCGGGGCGCCTCGGGGCTGCTCCTGGTTTGTGATCACCCCGTTAGTGACCGGAAGCGACGCTCACCTGCCAGCCCGTTCACTCTTACACTGGAAAAGGCCGGCCGACGTATTGTTTTAGGATAATGAAGGCCCGTTTAGTCCGCTGGACGGAAGAGGGGCAGAACTAAAAGGAACATGTGTGTGCCCGCCTCCGAGAAGTGGGGTGCGCTATAAAACCAGCGACCCGCTGGCTGGAGGAGCCTTCCCGCGGAGACGGCGAGCTCTCCGAGGGGTTCCCTGGGAGTTTCCAGTCTCCAGGACGTGAAGTGTAATTTCGGGAAATCCAGTGTGAGAAGCTGCGCGGTGTGAGATAATAGGATGGGAAAGTTCTAATGGGACCACAAAACAATGAAACGTGAAAAGAACGGATCTCCTTTTGTGAAAGAAATGAAAACAGATATGAAGAAGGAGGAAGGAAAGACCCCTTTTGTGTGTGCTTGTGTTTCATGTTGAGCAACAAAGGAAGTAATAGTGAGAAGACTGCAGTCGGCAATAGAGAATTTCTGTCTGAGTGACAATTGGATCCTTTTTCTGCCTAAGATTCAGCAGGGTTTTTTTTTGGTGTATTTTTTGTTTGTTTTTGGCCTAAAGTGTAAATGCCAGTGTTTATAACTGGGAACTTTTCACATTTGTTACTGTTCCAGTATTTCGGGTTTCTGCCAGCTTTTGGATAGATAATGCTTTTGAGAGGAATAAGGTGCCATTGTTATAATAAATTGTAATAAAATAGTAAGTTGTGAGCGAAGGATTTATAGTTACAAGAGAGAATTTGGAAATGCTAATAGCATTTCTTCAGATTTAAGTGATGAGAGAGAGAGCACATTAACTACTCCAATTCCATCTGTTTATCGATTGACACGGGCAGGGACATATTCTTTTTGCTACAAGCTTTTACTGTGTGTTGTTGGGAAAGGTACTAAAGGAGTTCTGTAGTTCCTTGTTTTATTTTTTTACATCTTATAAAGGTAGAAAACTATGTATGAAGTTGAGATCTTTAATTTACTTAATAAAATACTGGACTCGCTAGCTTTTAATAGGAAAGTTATCTTGTCATACAGTTCATAAGGCATTAGTCTTTGAGTTAATGAATACTGCTTGACATTCCTAATTATGTCTCTTTTTTCTTTAAACGTTTGACCATGAGTTCATATAACTTACTTGAAAGTGTATTTGATTTCTACTCCCATTGGTGGGAAGGGGAGGAAGTAGAGAAATACATATTTTGCTTTCTAGGGTCCACCATTTAGTAAAGTAGTTAAACCGAATTAGGGTTTAACTTCACTCAGTGACTCCAGTTATGTGACAGCTGGTAATATTTACTTACTGATAGAGCAGTGATTTTCAACCAGTGTGCCTCTGGCTGCAAAAACTTAAAAAATATATATTTTTATTGATTTCAGAGAGAAAGGGAGAGGGAGAGAGAGAGAATCGTCAGTGATGAGAGAGAATCATTGATTGGCTGGTCTCCTGCACGCCCCCACTGGTTATCTAGCCCACAACCCCGCCATGTGGGAATCCTGGTTCATAGGTTGATATGCTCAACCACTGAGCCACACCAGTCGGGCTGCTGCAAGAATTTTTAAAATAAGCAATACTTGAGTAGTCAGGGGCACTGACCTTTTTCCCTTAGATTGTCAAAAAAATGACAACAACCAACACAATAGCTATCCACCATGAATGAATCAAAATTATACCTACTTTTTGTCAGATCAGTAAAAAATACAATTTTTTGTTTTCCACAGAATTTTGGTAATTACTTTATGTGTGCTGTGAGATGGAAAAGTTTGAAAATCACTGCTGATAGAAACAGACTAGTTCTGTGGCCAGAGGGTTCATAGAGCAATGTTAAACATGGATCTTAACTCATGTGAATTTCTTTTTCCTGACCATATGTACTTTGTTGTTTCATCAATATGAAAAGCATTATTACATTAATAGTTACAATGGAATTTTAATAGTATGATTAAGAAAAATATTTCCCTTTTCAGCCCTACAACAGGCTCTACTCTTGAATAAGTTCTCATCCCTAAGTGAAAATTGGTTTCTTTGATTTAGAGGGAGGAGAGGGATTTTTTAAAAAACCACACAAACCGTAGTCATTGCTGTTATTTCCTGTTCCTACTTCCATAGGAGGTTGTAGGACAAGTCAGGGAATGTTTTTTTCTCTTCCCTTTCTTAGTCACAGCTGGGGAACTGTGAGAAGCAGAGGTCAGGACGTAGTCAAGGATATTTTGTTTTTATGCATCCTGGTTTTAGGATGTAGTCAAGGATATTTTGTTTTTATGCATCCTGGTTTTAATGCACTATTAAGTGGAATTTTGCATTCATTTTTCCATGTTGAAAGAGGTCAAATCAATGCAAAATTGCTTTGAATTCATGAAATTCCATGTGTTAATTCTACTTCTTTTAAAATATTATTGATCCCATGAGACTGCTTTTTTTTTTACAAAAACACCTTCACACAACAAAATCAACTATAGGATATTTCCTTGGTTGACAGAAATGATTAGTAATAGATTATTCAGTTATTTTAATAGTGAGTATCCTGGAAATACTATTTCCTTCTTAGTTTCAGCCCTTGTTGACAACTCTTTCTAAAAGGATCTATGTGTGTGTTTCTAAATGATCACCTCAGGATGGACATTCTGACTAGGAATTCCTATGTGGTTTGGAGTAATTATTCCTCCACATATAAAGAAGTAGCTGGGGTAGTAAGTTCTTTTTCTGTTGTTGCAAATATTCTTCTCTTACTGCACTACTGAGGATATTATACTCCCTTCTCACTTGCTATTTTTTTCTCTTGTTATTCTGGAGTCTTCTCTTTGGGCAAGTTACCTTAATGGGAGAGTTTTTTGTTAACTAGGGTCAATTACCCATTTATTCAACAAATATTTACTGAGGATCAATTAAGTTCAAGATAAGGTGCCAAGAGTAATGAGGCTGCACGCCATAGAAATATTAATCTTACTCAGTGCACTGTAAAAAAAAACAAACAAAAAAAAACAAATGGTTCACAGGCCAAATAGGTTTTGGAAATGGGCATACTTTGTTTTGTTAGAGATGTACAATATACCTTAGTATGTTAGAAATTCTGAGATGTTCATTTTTAAGCTTTTTTGACATGAAACGTTCATTTTGTAGTGTTTATTAATTTTGTGAATTCCATGTACATACTTTGGAAAATGTTGAATTATATATAGAACCTGCCCTTATTGTTAAGTAGAGGGAGGGGAAAAATAGATACATAACTACACTGGAGGCCTGATGCATGAAATTCCTGCAAGGGCCTTGTCCCCTGCTGCAGTGGCGGCCACAGCTTTGTCTCGAAGGACAGACATCCAGAAGGGCTCGTGGTCTAATTAGCATATTACACTTTTATTATTATAGATACTCTTGAAATAAAGTTATAAATGGTGTCAGGCCTAGATAAAGTGATATAGGAGTTGAGAGGGTGGGAAAATTACATCTAGAAATGTGGAAGGATTAGGAGGTGTCATTTGAATGATATACAGAGGATAAGTTTTGAATTTGTGGAACTGGGTGGAGGGATTTTCTAATAAAGTAGACAGTAAAATCCAAGCCATAAAGGGAGGTAAGTGTAGACCCTGGGGACAGGGGAAGAGTTCATTTTGGCTGGAGTGTAACATGCATGAAGAAGAGGAATGACATGCAAGGAAAATTGGGGGTTAATTGTATAGGTCCTGAATGCCAGAATTAGGAATTAGTTGTTGTTTTTTCTTTATTGTAAATGTTGATGCTTTGGTAATAATATTTGAGATCATGTAATTTGACTGTGGTGACAATGGCTCTTTGACTTCCGGGTTGGAATTTGAATAGCCAAGAACACATTTTTTACGCACAAATTTATGTCTCTTAGATTTTCAAACTAAGTAACTTAAACATATTTATGGAAAGATCTCTTGTTAATGTGATAAATATATATTGATGAATGTGAGATATACAAGTAAGGACCACTCTACCTTTAAGGTGCTGAAATGCTGCTTGTTTCAGCCATATTAGCTGTTAAATAAATGTTTAAAGGTTTTAAGAGATGTGGCCAGGAGCTGAGTACAGAGACAAAAATATGTATTTCTTATATCACATCATCACAGGGAGATATTCGTTAAGAAACAATACAGTGCAGTGGGAGTACAGAATCTTTTCCTTGGATAATTAGGAGAGGTTTCATATAGTAATCACATAAATTGCATGTTGATAGATGAGTGGAAACTTTTTGGAAATGGGCATTCCAAGGCAGAGGTGGAAGATGACTACAACTTGTAAGGTGAGGTGTATTCAGAGTACTGAGGAGAGATAGAATCTGTATTTGCATGTTTTAGGTGTGGAAGTGATGGCTCACACAAGGCATTGAGATCTCAGGGGCCGTTGGGGGGAACTTTGAGAAGGCTTCATAAAGTCCATGCTTAAGGGAGTTGACATGCCTTTTTTGGGAGAGAGGGGGAGTGGAGAGACAGATATGGGTGATTGTAACACATTGTACTGGATCTATTTTGGTAAAGATGTTCTGAGAAAATATAAAAGTTTAGTTGGGTATCTCAGAAACATTGTTAAATTAAAGATTCATGTTCCTGTTCAAGGGCTTGATGTCTTAATTTTTAACAGAAATTACTACAAATCCCATGTTTTTCTTAAATTTGGTAGCATATGTAAGGAGTATGAAATAAAATCAGTTTAATAAAGCAATCAATAACCAATTACTTAAAGTTGAATTTAATATGATAGTATCTTAGCCTGTAGTTGTATACTTCAGTTTTTGTTTTGGCAATTTTTGCTTTTAATTGCTACTATAGTAAAATAGAAGGTGAAGATATACCTTCATTTGGTTTATGAAATTCTAAGAGATTTCTCTTTTGACAATCCTCTTGGGAAGACTTGGTCATCTGGAGGTCTTAGAATTTGTTAATTTGTCTTTTTCTCATTGTAAATGCCTTTGTAGCAAGGTTGAGTATAAGAAAGCAAGTTATTGAGATTCATTTAGTTTTATAAGCGGGAAGATTTATTTTTGTTTCGTTTTTTGCTTTTTTGTAACTTCAATTACATTAAGCTCAGTAGCTGATTTATCTTAAACTTTTGTGGTAATTTGATTGCCTCTGAAGATAAAACCTGTGCGTTGTTTCCAGGACACTGTTCTCTCCTAATTTTTCCTCTTCCTGCACTGTTCCCTCCTTCTTTGTTTTTTGTTTGTTGGATCTTTTCCCTCTTTGTTTCTCCAAATGTTGTCATGTTTCTCTTCCTTCTGATCTCATCCAATTCAAAGGTTTTAAATAATACTTTTAAAATTGTATCTAGCTTCAGTTTCGTCCCTGTACTACAAACTTATTTTTCTGACTTGTATATCTAACTAGAGGCCTGGTGCACAAAATTTGTGCACTCACAGGAGTTCCGGAGTCCCTCAGTTGGGCCTGCGCCCTCTCGCAGTTTGGGAGCCCTTGGGGGATGTCCAACTGACGGCGTAGGCCCGCTCCCCACTGATGCCTAAGCCATCAGTCAGACATCCTTTTAGCACTGCCGCAGAGGCAGGAGAGGCTCCTGCCACCACTGCTGTGCTCACCAGCCATGAGCCCGGCTTCTGGATGAGTGGCACTCCCTCTATGAGAGCGCACTGACCACCAGGCGGAAGCTCCTGCATTGAGCGTCTGCCCCCTGGTGGTCAGTGCATGTCATAGCGACTGGTTGTTCCACCATTTGGTCAATTTGCATATTAGCCTTTTATTATATAGGTTTGTCTCTGTACTGGTGCTCCAGCTATGTCTTCAGCAGGCTGTTCCAGTGTTTTGTAAGACTGGCAGCTACTGGGTTGTGTGGTTTATAATGTGACCAGTGGATCCTATAGTCACCTCCTTTGCTGTAAAATGGATCCCTTGGTCTGATGTGATGTGCAGGATCTCATGCCAGGGGAACAAACACTCCCTCTGTGAGAGACAAACCCAACTAGGAATGTTTTCAGTTTTGGCAGAATGAATTACTTTTCCACAATGGAAAGGGTACAATGTAGTCAACTTGCCACCATTGGCTGATTAGTCTACTTGTAGGATGGGGCTGTTTTAGGGCTTAGAGTTGGTCTCTGTCACTGTTAGGTTAGCTCTCTGGCTTTGATAGTAGCTGAATCAGCCTTGGTGAGTAGGACCTCATGCTGTTGGGGTCATGTTGTATCTGTATTATGTTTGCTCTGTTCAGTGTGCTAATGCTGGGCAGAAGCTGGCTGATGTGAACTGGTAGAGGCATTTTGTCTTCATTGATTAATTCTTTTTCCATGGTGGATGTCTGTCTTTTAGGGGTGTTAACATGTGTCACCAAGATCTTATTTCTTCATGCCCATTCCCAAATATCCATCCACATGACTCTGCCCAAGACTTCTTATCTTCATGTACTAATCTTTGTCCTCTGATAGCCAGGCTTTTTGCTGTTGTCTGTGAGTCCCATGTATATTCTAATCTCAGGTCAGTTCTGTTGTCCACCCAAGAGAACAATCAGGTATGTTTCCCTAACCTTTGCCTATTGGGAAGATATTTTTCTTGCCACTGAATTTCATGGCTTTCCCTGAATGAGGCTATAATTGCAGCTTCTGTTCATTTTTAGTAGACATATCTGCCTAGCCAATTCTCCATGAACCAAACTCAGTGACTTAATGAATATCCTATTTCCATCTCCCAACTACCTACTGAGTTATAACAACTCACTCAGCAGTTTTAACACTGAAGTTTGTGCATGCATTTTTATTTACTTACCACATACTACTATTGCTTTTTCCTATTGTTAGACTATGAGTTTCTCAGTTTGTATTTATACATCTTTATAATCCAAAGCCTAACAGAGTGCTTGACACTGGAAATGGTATTGTTCAGTTAATGTTTATCAATGAAAATGTTTTTTTAACTATGATTAAAAAATGGAAAATTTTATAGATAAAACAATTTAAACTGGAATCACTAGCAAGTGCTACCAGCTTAAATTATATGCTAAGTGGGAGACAATATATGATATTTATTTGCAAGAGGGTAGTGTGAAAAATATGTAAATAATTGTGTACTAGTCTAAAAAATGCATTATCAGCTGATGGTGAACATTTGAATATTTATTTATTTTAAATATATTTTTATTGATTTCAGAGATAAAGGGAGAGAGAGAGAGAGATACATCAATGATGAGAGAGAATCATATTGGTAGCCTCCTGCACACCCACTACTGGGTATCGAGCCCACAACCTGACATATGCCTTTGACAGGAATCGAACCTGGGACCCTTCAGTCTGCAGGCTGGCACTCTATCCACTGAGCCGGCTAGGGATGAATATTTATTTATTTTGGATTGGTCCTTCTATTCTAATATTTTTTTGTTTTTTAACTAATGTTTTTTTCCATAAGAAAATTTAGAAAATACTTTTATCTTGTTTTTTTCCATCAGATATTGTGAGCATTTTCCTCATTTTATTTAAATTTTTTATAACATGATTTTAATAGAAACATAGTTTTTCATCTTATAAGTTTACCATAACTTTTCAATGATGATTTTGTTGAATATTTATGTAGACAATATTACCCAGCAAACATTCTGTAAAAAGTTTTTAAGTTTTTATTTGCTTTTCCCTTAAAATTTTAAAAGTAGAATTACTGGGTTAAAGGGTAAGAACATTTGTAATATTGTTGATATTACCAAACTATTACCTATTGCCTCCAAAAATATTGTACCTGTTAACATTTCTAATAGTAATGAGAGTATGAATGTCAGTTTACCCTCCCCTGCATTACATATTATAATTTTTAAAAACTTTGTCTCTTTGTGAGATAAAAAAAAAAGTGAAAATTTGACTGTTTGTGCAATTGCATGTTTTTTATGTTTCTTGACCATTTGTATTTCTTCAATAAATTGTTCACTTTTCTGTTGGGATGTTTTAACTGGTATTAGTAATTTAATTTCATTTGAAGTTCTCACATAGTAGAACCTGTTTCATTTTTGTAGGTGTTTTTAAGTTATCTTCTATGAAAAATTTTAAAAGAACATTTATTTTATAAACTAGGAACCTTTTGTGGCAGATGAGTATATTGAACGTCTTGTATGGAGAACCCCAGGAGGAGGCTCTAGAGGAGGATCGGAAGCTTTTGATCCTAAAAGGTGAAGTGAAAATTTTTTTTCATAGACCCAATCTAGTACAAATTTATGTTTGAAATAGATGTGACTATTGGGAATTTCTTTTAACATTCATGTAAAGGGATTTTAGTTAACAATTGGTCATTAAAAGACACAAGCATTAGAAGTTTGGTTGATTTTTCCCCCCCTTTACATTCCTTTTATTTTAGAGAAGGACTTTAACTAGTATGAGGGAAGGGGTTTTGTTACATTATAAGAACTTAATATTTTCTCCAATTACTAATAAATGAGAAAGAGTTGGCAATAAAAACATGTTAAATGTGTTGTTTTAAGTATAGTTGTAAATTGGGGAACAGAAAGTCACTGAACTCTAGAATGCACAATATGATTTTTATGTAGTATATTTACCTATTGACTGTTTCTTTGAAATTGGTTTCTATTTTGGAGGTTAATGGAGATTTTAGGTGAGGTTTTCTTTCATGTCAGAGATAATTCCTAACAAGATACTATAGAGAAGATTAACATGATCATCCTTAGTTCAATTCAAGTTTATTAATACCTTACAGTTCTAAATGAAGTTCCTAAAATTAATCATAGGAGGATTGATACATATTCTTATTTTCCTTTATTAGGTTATTAGAAGAATTTGTAAATCATATTCAAGAACTCCAGATAATGGATGAAAGGATTCAAAGGAAAGTAGAGAAACTAGAGCAACAGTGTCAGAAAGAAGCTAAGGAATTTGCCAAGAAGGTACAAGAGCTTCAGAAAAGCAATCAGGTAAATATTTAGCTAAGCAATGAATAATTTATATAGACTATAATATCTTTATTTCCTTTCAGCTTTTAGTTCTTAATAAAAATCTAGTCAAATGAGATTAACTGTTGAGGCTTCTCTCTAGTTCTCCCATATCATGGGATAAAATGTTAATGAATTGTTATCAAACACTCCTGGCAGTGGCTTACATTTGGGATCACAGTGTTCCCTTCTTAGGATGGGGTGCTGTCTAGTATAGTGTGGTCCTTGCTTCTCCTCTAACAATCCAACCTTTCAAGAATGATGCTTCAGCAGACCTATATCTTGAAGGGCTTATTGTTAGCTTGGATATTTACGTAGTCACTTGCATTCTCATTTAATCATAAAACAAAGTAATATCAGAAAATTATTGCCTGGATAAGGTTTTTCCCCAGAGGAAACCTGGTCTGGGAAGTTTCACAAAAATCATGAGTTATGTGCCCTAATAAGAATTACAATGTAACTGGAAAAATGGGTGCAGAATTCTTCCTCAATTCATTTTGGAGTAAAAAAAAATAAACTGGCCTTCGGGCTAAGTAGGTCAAGCTTCTTAGCCATTCTTTAGCTCCAGACTGAATCTGGAACCTCCAAACCCCTTGCACAGCCTGATCTAGGCTTGCTTGCCCTTTGTGAGTGTGTAAGTGTATAAGTTTAAGGAACAATGTTTAGCTTTGCTGCTTCCCAGGGACTATTTGTTTTTTTAGCATTAGGGATTAGCAAACTGATCTCTGCTCAGATTTCATTTATTTAGCTTCCTTTATTTAAGCATCTATGGCTGTGAGAAAATATTTAATGATGTCAATAATTTATATAAGATAGAAAATATATTTTTAAGTAGTTAAATTGATAGATTTCAGGTACTTCTAATGCAATTTTCCCTTGATAATAATAATTAAATATTAATAGTTTAACAAGTTCTGAAGCCAACTTTCTCTACCAAGTATTAGCTGTGTAACTTCAAGTAACTCAAGCTTTTCTGTGCCTCAGTTTTTTCATCTGCGTATAAAATAGATTGTTGTAAGGATTACATAAATAAATACATTAATATGCTTAGAATAGTGTCTAGCATAGAGAATGTCCTTAGTATATCTAATTGTCAGCAATTTTATTATTGGCAATTCTAAGGCATTCATAGTGTATAATTTTTATCTACCAGAAGATAATCAGTATACTGTGGGAAAGGGATATTCTAGGAAGTAATATACATTTGCCTCAGTAGAATAATTGTAATCTTTTCTGTTTTCAAAGCTGAGCAAAAAAAAAAAAAAAAAAATTTTACCTTAAAATATTATCATTGCTCTTTAAATATTTAAATGTTTTTTAAATATTTTTTTAAATCAGTGTCTTTTACTTCTAACATGTTTTTAACTCTTTAGTGTAGTAGCAAGTGAGTTGTTCAGATGACTGGTCTTTTTGATACTTAGTTCATTGTTATCAGAACCATTATTTATGAGTAAGTGGTACTGGGAAACTTTGTTAAACAGAATGAATAGTAACTAGTCTTGCTGTTTTATTGATTAGTAAGTGTATTCATGATAAAATATAATTTTAATAGTTAAAAGTATAAAATTTTGCAATTTTGTTAAAAATTTTTCAGATTATGTGTTGATCTATTAGGCATGAATTGTTTTTGTAGATCATCTTTTATATAATTTCTATGTTATCTTTAGTTACCTCAGTTTGAGAGTAGTAATGAGTTAGTAGTTTAGTTTTGATACGAATTATAAGTTAATCTGGGTGCTGTCATTCTATTATAAGTAAAAACTGCATTCTGTCATTGTATTTTATGGTTATGCATATTTTTTTTCAGGTTGCCTTCCAACATTTCCAAGAACTGGATGAGCACATTAGCTATGTAGCAACCAAGGTCTGTCACCTTGGAGACCAGTTGGAAGGGGTAAACACACCCAGACAACGGGCAGTAGAGGCTCAGAAATTGATGAAATACTTTAATGAGTTTCTAGATGGAGAATTGAAATCTGATGTTTTTACAAATTCTGAAAAGGTGAGCACTATTGAAGGATAAAAGCAAATTATAGCATTAATAACAATGTCCTAATTATTAACTACAGTTATTACTTTCCAGAGAAGAACTTCAAATCACTGAGTAGCTGACTTATTGTTCTGATGTGTAAAGTAGTACACTAGCTTACAGATTGCTGATGAAGTGTTCTAATTTTTAAATGGATTGGTTGGCTTCTTTTTTTTCATGAAATTAATGTGTGGTTTAGAAATGCCGAGGTGACTGTATTAATGAGTGTTTCTTTTCTGTAATTGGCTTTTAATATTAGCAGAATTTCTGTAGATTTTGAATAGTTAAATTTCATTGGATGAGGGTGGTCTGACCTAATCATTGAAAAGTTGAGGTGGCATTTTTGTTGTTTTATTCACTTAAAGTGGGATATATGCAGCAGAATAATCTGAATTATTTTCATATATCTTGTTTACCCCTTTTGGATTCATAAACTCAGAAGAAACTTACACTTCTGATTTCCGTAAGTAATTAGTTGAATTTTTTCAGAGTAAATGAACTATAGGTTTCATTGGGAAGGTGATTGTGGCATTATGAAATGGTAAGATTTCAGTGCCAGAAAGACAAATGTGTATGTTTTATTGACTTATTGGTGATACCCCAAATGTATTCCTGTTGCTCAAAAAGTTTTATTTGTTGAGAATTTTAAAAGAAAATTGTTTGGGTGAGGGTCTGTGGGCATACATAGGGTAATATTACTATTTTCAAATATAAACATTTTTGACATATATATATATATAAGGGTTTTAAAAAAATTGTTGCTTTTATTTTTTTAATAGATAAAGGAAGCAGCAGACATCATTCAGAAGTTGCACCTAATCGCCCAAGAATTACCTTTTGATAGGCAAGTTTATTTCTCAAGAGCTAATTTAGATATATGGTGTAATTTATAGAATAAACTTGTATTTTTTCCGGTATGATTTTTCTCATTAATTCAACAAGAGTGTATTGAGTACCTCCTTTGTATAAGGTACAATATATAATAGTTGAATGAAAAAATATAGTTTCAGTTTCTAAATTTAATAATATACCTTGAAATAATTTCAGTTCTTTGTTTTCCCCTGGGGAAAAAATGATGAAGAAGAATTTTGAGATTTACTGAAGTGAGATTTTAAATTTTCATTTTTTGGACTTTCATAATCAAGATGGGAGGAGACTGAGAGTGTTTAAACATGGAACCACCCAGCTGCTTTTTCCTATCTCTAGATGACAGTATTTAAGTTTTTAAAGATCTGAGATAATGGAAAGCTGATGAAAGCTATAAAGTTTCTTCCAAAATGTCAGTTTCACACAGATTGTTATATACAATTTTATGTAGTTTTTATACTCATTAGCTTATCCGCAGTCTCTGGAGAATTCAGGTTAAGAACCCTTGCTTTAGTTGAAAGGCTTAAGGCCATCTAATCAAGTATTAATGGTTTTATCCCAAAATTAACTTTACTGAGATGGAAATTTTTGCATGATTTCCTTTGTCCTTGGAATATCAGACACTTTAATAAAATATTGGTAGTAGTAGTTCCTGCATGTGAATATCTGAAAGAAATATGTCTTCCCATATAATAGACAATATATCTTTATTCTTTTGGTAATACTTGGAAGATCCTCTGGTACAGGTAGAATATAAATGTATTGCTATACTTAAAGCTTGACCGTATATCGCAAACACAGAGAGTTCCCTACCCACAAAATACCTTATTTTATTCTCAACTATGTCCTCATAAAGGATTAGCAGTAATGGTCATCTGTCACTTAGATATTATTAATAATCTTATTCTTGCCCAGCATGAGAGTAATGAGTTTTAAAGTGACCCACAAAAAATCTCTCTTTTAACTTTATCTCATTTCATTCTTGTGCCATTTACTTAAATGGGTAAAATGTGAAGCTCATGATAGGTGCATAATAATTGTTGGCTACCTCTCCCATCCCCTCTCTATCCTCTCTATTATATGTTTCTATAAAACATGGCATATATTCATCTCTTCCATTTCTCAATTATACAATTGCATACTTCTCTTACAGTTTTGTTTTAGCCTCTCTGCCAGTTCTTGGAGTTGAATATATATCCTAATCAGATTTAATTTTTTTCACAAAGATTCACAACACCTTACGTGCACTGTGTGATCTGCCATGACTTTGATATAGTCATGCCTCACATAATGTCGTTTTGGCCATCCACAGACTGCATATATGATCCCATAAGATAATAATGGAGCTGAAAAATTCCTATCATCTAGAGACATTGGCCATTGTGATGTTGTAGTGCTATGCATTACTCATGTGTTTGTGGTGATGCTGATGTAAACAAACCTATTTTGCTGCCAGTCATATAAAAGTGTAGCACATGCAATTATGCAAAGTATATAATACTTGATAATTATAATAAACAACTATGTTACTGGTTTATGTATTTATTGTACTTTCTATCATTATTGCACAATGTACTCTTTCTGCTTATAAAAACATTTTTCTATACAACAGTATGCCTGGTTACACTAGCAATGGCCTCTTGTGTCTCAGGTTTATTGGGTCTCTTGATGGCATCATTTTCTCTTGTGGTTGATTTAATCTTGTGTTTTGTATGGTAACATGCTGTATAGGCTTGTAGTTTAGGAGTAATAGGCTTTATACAATATAGCATTGGTGTGTAGTAGGCCATACCATCTTCGTTTGTATAAGTGTACTGTATGATGTTCACACAACAGTGAAATTGCCTAATGACCCATTTTTCAGAACGTATTCCTATTATTGAGTGGCATAGACTGTATATCAATTTTGTATAACTTTAAATTTTTATTACTTTCTTCACCTGTCTTTGGCATCTCTTTTGCCAGTCACTTTCCTCTGTCTTCACACTGATTGTGTAGGAACTTTTGGCATCCATTTTCCATGATATGTATTTCCCCTGATATTTAAGATTTGAGAAAAATTCTAGTGTATGGTATGTGTGATATTTTAGTTTCTGAATTTGCAAAGATTGATTACTAGGCACAATGCTTGGTCCTTTTTCTGGCTTCTACACTACTTTTAAAATAACTCATTTGTATATACTTTTTATTTTTATTTTAAATAACGGTAATTGAACTTTTGAAAAAAAAATCCCAACAGAGGGAGGAATATACAAATATTAAGTGAATTTAAAATGCCAGAGAATATGACTAGGGGCGGTAGCTCAGTGATGGGGCTGGCTGGATTGTTAATGCCTCATACAATTCTTCGTTGTTTGACAATTGGTTATTCAATGTGGGTTTCCTAAATGAGAACCAGCCACTCCATCTGAATATCCCAAATTTAGTTTTGTCACCTGGCATGCTTCCTGTCAGTACTGTCTCCCTTTTGGCTTTATCTTTTTCTTTCTTCCTTATTTTATGATGATCTTTAGTACAGAGGACTCACATATATCCCCAAACACAGTTTCCCCTTTTATTAATATTTTACAATAGTACCATTGCTATGGTATATTTGTCACAACTAATGAACTTCATCATTGGTTTTTATCTTTCAGATTTTCAGATGTAAAATCCAAAATTGCAAGTAAGTGGGGTTCTATTTATTTAACTGTTTTGAACAAGCAATAAATTACTTGGGTAAAAGAAAAAAATAGTAAGAGGAGAGATAGTGGATCATGTCATCCTTCCATCCTATCCTTGGCTTTGATTGCTTTTTCTTGAAACAAACATTAGCAATTTCTTGGGTATTCCTCCAGAGTATTCTATAGATAAATAAGCCTAGGATATAAATCATGTATATATGTGTAAAATTTAGTTCTGTCATCCTCATTTATTTTAACACATTTCGTACCGCATAGAAATCTCTAAGACATACGCCAGGGACCGCACGTTTTTGGGCAAACTGCACGTTATTTAAATCATCATAACTACAGATCATAATGCACTATAGGTGTTGTTTTTCAATAATTATAACATTCTTATTTACAAAAACAATTAAACAATTAAAGTTCCTAGTACTTAACGTATGGTACTGCGTAAAACATTTTCCTCTATGAAGAGGGACCAAACAAAATTTACATAAGTATCTAGATTCGCTCCTTTTTCCATGGGCGTGAAAAACGAGAACACTCGTGAGCGGTCCTTAACAGATGGCGCGCGAAACACGAGAAAGCTCGTGAGCGGTACGAAAGGTGTTAAAATAATTAGTAGCATTCTATATAAATAGTTTTTACCTTCTGTTTTTAATTTAACAATGTATCTTCGAGATTATTCATACAGATATCTCTAGAGTAGGTCCTTTTTTTAAAAAAAAACTAAGTTTATAATTTCTTACATAACTAGTTTGATTTTTACCAATCTTTGGATTATATTTTAGGTAACTCATTCTAGGTTTCTAGAAAAGCCACTGTATTTCAGGTTCCTGTGGTAGCCCCATCACTGTTTGCGAGGCCATTTTGTATAGAAGGTTCAAAGAACTACCTATTTGGACTTCCTGCCCTGTTTTTGATCACTATAGATTAGTCAAAAGTTCAGTTATTCATTCAGAACTATTATAGCCTCAAGAATATAGTGAATCAAATATCACATATTATCTTAAGGTAGAATTTGGTGTTGAATCCACCATTTTGTTCAAGGCAAAGGCATCTGAACTCAAAAATTTCTGTAGTCCTCACTCTTTCTGCACTTCCAAGTTTAAGATTTTTCTTTTCTCTTGATCTCAGAGATACCATCGGGAAGATTTCCCCTGTCAGTTGCTTTTAAAGTAATAGTGGTAAATAGCAGTCAGACTGTGGGAGTTCAACTGTTTATTTGGGAAGATAGGAAAGATGTTTTTGTCTTGAAAATATAGATTTATATATCACAATATATTGTGGTGTCTAGATTCATTGTAATATCTTACTGTTTTGTAATTTTTCAAAAGAGGGCTAGATCCATAGTCATTATATTTATAAACTAGAGGCCCCGTGCATGAAAATTTATGCACTGGAGTAGGTGGTCCTTCAGCCCAGTCTGCCCCCTCTCACAGTCCGGGAGCCCTCAGGAGTGGGAGGCGACCTGGCGATCAGGGGAAGGCGACGCCTCCATCACACCTCTGCTGCTGCCACTGCTGGCAGCACAAGCCTTGGCCGGCCCTGGTTACCCGACCCTCATGTGGCCCTGGGCGGCTGGGCAGCCACCATCTGAGGCTTGCCTGCGCCTCGGGCCAGCCCTTGGGTTGCTGGGGGGCTGAGGAGACGGGGGGGACTCCAGAGGCAGGCACATGGCAAGGTCCCAGCGGGGCTGAGGGGACTGGGCGCCGCCATCTTTGAGGGCGTGGTAGTCAATTAGCATATTCCCTCCTTTTTGGTTGTGGGCACCGCCATCTTTGCAACAGCATGAGGGTCAATTAGCATATTCCCTCTTTATTAGATAGGATAGTTCATATACTAGCAAATAGCTTGCATACCTTGTTTGTCTCATTGACTTCTTTTTATTTTTAGGCAAATACCATGATTTAGAATGCCAGCTGATTCAGGAGTTTACTAGTGCTCAAAAAAAAGGTGAAATCTCCAGAATGAGAGAAGTAGCAGCAGTTTTACTTCATTTTAAGGTAAGTAGTAAAAATTATAAGTGAAAATTAGTCTTCAAGGCTGGAGATTATATAAATTCTGTATATTATAGTCTCTGATTTTCCCCTATTGTATGATTATCAGGATGATAATTTTTGTTTTGAATAATCTTACTGTACATTTTATATCTTTCTCTATAAGATATGTTCAATTTTAGGTGTTTAATATTATTTAAATAGGGATTTTATATTCTATAACATTAATATTTTATCAAACACCAATATGTATATTTGATATCATATGTCAAGCTATATATGAATTTTTATATAGTTTGCCATAGAAAGTCATATTTTTTTGCCTTCTTAATTTATAATGTATTGTTCTTTTCAGTCAAGCATGTTATGAAATAGGTCAAAAGCAAGAAGACTTGATCTTAAGTATCTAGTGGAATGTAGGAACCACAGAGTGGGTAGAATGTGACTCGTAAAAGATAAGTTAAATCCAGAGGATCTCAGGTGGTAATACAAGGAATATTCTATTCTAGAACTGTCTTCTTGGAATTTGAACTACAAAGATAATTTTTGTATGGGAATGCATTTCTGTAAACATAATGCTTAAAGGAATAGTATTTCCTTTAGTCTGTTTCTTTATATTTATATCAGACTAGAAGCCCAATACACAAAAATTCGTGCAAGAATAGGCCTTCCTTCCTCTGCTGCCGGCACCGGCTTCCCTCTGGCACCCAGGACCCGGGCTTCCCTCCTTTGCCCACCGGCAGGCACCCAGGACCTGGGCTGCTTCCCTCCTCTGGCCACCGGCAAGCACCTGGGATGCGGGTTGGCTTCCCTCCGGCCCCGGCTTCTTCAGGAAGGACATCCGGAAGACATCCAGTCTAATTAGCATATTACCCTTTTATTATTGTAGATTAGGGAAATATAAGCCATTTGTTGAACTTTTCATTTAAGTACTATATTTAAGTATTAAGAATAGCTCTTGAGCCCTAGCTGGTTTAGCTTAGTGGATAGAATGTTGGACTGTGGACTGGAAGTTCCCAGGTTGGATTCCGGTCAGGGGCACATGCTAGGGTTGTGGGCTCAATCCCCAGTAGGAGGCATGCAGGAGGCAGCCGATCAATGATTCTCTCTCATCATTGATGTTTCTATCCCTCTCTCCCTCTCCCTTCCTTTCTGAAATCAATAAAAAAAAATGTTTATAAAAAAAAGAATGGCTCTTGAGAAATTATACTTTATATTGCTTACCTTACTTTTTTAAATTAGCTTAATATGACAAATTATTTTATTTAAACACATTCTATTTAAATGGATTCAATTTTAAAAATAAATTTCCAGAATGTCAGTTAAATGCAGCTCTGTCCATATTCTTGCAAGGGAAAGCAAATGCTTTGAATCCAAAAGAGGAAAGAAGGAAATATATATTTCTAAAACCGTTTCTCAAAATCTTGAATCTGTTTGTGTGCGTGCACATGTTTTAGAGTTGAAGGAGATGACTTGATGATGATTGGGTGAAATGACTATAAAGAACTCAGTTATACCTAATTTTTCTTTGAAGTCCAGCAACTATTGGCCATTCATGGGGACACAGACATAGCTTTATTACATTACATAGGTATACTTTTTTTTAATTGAGATTATTATTACAATTTAACAGAACAGTGATAATGTATTTCTTTCTTCTTCATAGGGTTACTCCCATTGTGTTGATGTTTATATAAAGCAGTGCCAGGAGGTAACATAACAGTACACTTTTTGTATTTCATTTCATTTTATGCTAATTTGTGTTTTAAAAACCATTTAAACATTATGTATTCACTATGTAAAATGCCTCTGCTATTTAGGGTGCTTACATGAGAAATGATATATTTGAAGATGCAGCAATACTCTGTCAACGGGTGAACAAACAAGTTGGAGATATCTTTAGTAATCCAGAAACAGTACTAGCTAAACTTATTCAAAACGTATTTGAAATCAAACTACAGGTAATTTTAAATAATGACTATGTAGTTTTTAAAGCAATATTTGATTTTTTTCTCTGTGTCTTAAAAGTTTTTTTAAATACTAGTTTACTGTTTAATGACCATAGGAATAGAAATCTACTTATTCACTGAAGGGGGAAAGGAGTGATAGGGTCATGCTTTTTAAAACATGTTTTGTTGCCCTAGCTGGTTTGGCTCAGTGGATAGAGTGTCGGCCTGCAACTGAGGTTCACAGGTTCGATTCCTGTCGAGAGCATGTACCTCAGTTGCAGACTCCTGGCCCTGAGTTGGGGCGCACATGGGAGGCAACCAATTGATGTGTCTCTCTACATCGATGTTTCTCTCTGTCTCTCCCCTTCCTTTTCACTCTCTAAAAAATCAATGGAAAAGATCCTCTGGTGAGGATTAACAACAGTAAAAACAAAAAAAAAGAAAAACATGTTTTGTTGAAAAAGTATGCTAATCACTAAGTGTCATAAGAACACATGTTTGAATTTTGTTTACCAGTAGTAGTAGTATCAATTGTAGTAACAGGTTATTATTTTTATTGGGTCTTCACCTTGACCAATAGATGGCATTTGTGAAACTGAATAAGAATTACAAATGCAGTCTGTAGAATTTTTTATAATATGGTACTAACATGAAAAAGAAAAAACAGAATTTAATTGATAGCCTATACTCTCATAGCATTATATTTTAAGGCAACATTTCCTAAACTATATTTACCACTGGATTAAAATACATTAAATATGTTTGTTTTTAAAACACAACTTAGGGCTTTTAAATACCCTTTAAATGTAGTAATATGTATGTATTTATCTAGATATGGGGGTGAAATATACAGCATTTCCCAGTTTTAGAGCAATGCCTATTAATGTTTCAAGGGACAATAATGTTACCAAGACCACAGTTTGGTAAATGCTGCTTTAAGAAAATGCTTATATTGGTGTAGACTGGGGTTTTGTTTGTTGTTGTTGTTGTTGTTGTAAATGTACTTTATGAGTCAGGATAGGCCATTTTCAAGGAAAAAGATATTTTGAAATTCTTAATTCTTATTCCTATGACTGATGTAGATGGACTAGTAAATATAGCGGTAAAATTTTAAACCTATTTTTGTTATTGGTATATTTTCTATACATTGCCGTTTCCATTGAATTGTAAGTCAGAAAAATTTAAGGATGTGGAGTTAATTTCAGAAAATACATCTTGAGTATGTAATTTAATATTTACTTAATTGACAAAATGTTGACTTTTTTTTTTTTAGAGTTTTGTGAAAGACCAGTTAGAAGAATGTAGGAAGTCTGATGCAGAGCAGTACCTCAAAAATCTCTATGACTTATATACAAGGTATATTTTTAATTATTATAAAATCATAACAGATCTTAGATTTTAATGTTTTTTTGAAAACGGGGAAGTATTCAAGTATTTTTGAATAATAGTTTGCCAGATAGCAGTCTGTCTTTTAGCATTAAATACTTGGCTTATAAACTAGTATTGTACAAGAGTAGTATTCTTAGTACATTAATTTAGGGGTATTATGCTTTATATTAATGTATCTAATGAAACATAAAGCTTTGTTTACATTGTTTAAAACTAAGACTTGAAAATTTTGTTTCCAATTTTAATTGTAAGCTAGTTCACTGTTCTTTAATTTTTCCTCCAAGAACTAGTATAATTATATTTATCTGCAGTTGCAATTTTAGAAATTGAGGAAGTGACAAATTCTTTTTTTTAATCTTTATTGTTGAAAATATTACATATGTCCCTTCTTTTTTCCCATTGACCCCCTTCAGCCCACTAGTGCCTGACAAATTCTTTTAAAAATGACAATTTCAGCCTTAAGTCTAATGTGAGAATCTGTTTTTGGTAAAAGACATTGTTAAACTTAGAAATATTATATCAGAAGTTTCATATGTAGTTTTTACCCAACCCTATGGCTATTGTTCAGTGTCATCATTTTGAGAGGAAAGTTTTGAAAAATAACCATAATCTGAAAGTTCTTATCTATACTAATAAAAGGGTAATATGCTAATTAGACCGGGTTGACTGCACATCTTCTGGTTGTCCTGCCTTCCTTCCGTACAAAGCCACGGTTGGGGGGGCTGAGGCAGAGGTGGTTAGGGGCAATCAGGCCGACAGAGGAGGGCAGTTAGGGGCAACCAGGCAGGCAGAGGGGTTAGTAGTGATCAGGCAGGCAAGCAGGTGAACGGTTAAGAGCCAGCAGTCCCAGATTGCGAGAGGGATGTCTGACTGCTGGTTTAGGCCCAATCCCGCAGACATCCCCTGAGAGGTCCCGGATTGGAGAGGGTGCAAGCTGAGCTGAGGGACTCCTCCTCCCTCTCCCCTGTGCATGAATTTTATGCACCGGTCCTCTAGTAAACAATAACATTATTATGAGCCTGTCTTCAATGGGAAACAGAAAATTAGAGAGAAGTCCACATGGACAAAGACCAAAGGGAATGAACAGAGAGTAGACCCCTCAATATTCTGACTTGTGTACCATGTCATGAATAGCATTAGACCATACTTGAAGAATTTCTGCCACGTTTTGCCATTTCTAGACTGGTTGGTTGCCTCCGTTTCCTAAGCCATCCCTAGCCGTTTATGGCAGTTTCAAAACCATAATGTTCATAGTATTCATTCTACTTTAAATATAATCCTAAATAAGCTGCTCTCTGCATCCTAATAAGTACCTTCCCAAACTTTAAGAAATGGTGGTTTAACATAAGCTATTAAATTCACATTGTAAAAATATATATTCGTTAGTATTGTTACTATACCTAAAATATATATTAATCTTTTTTCCCCCTCTTCCATGAAAAGAACCACAAATCTTTCCAGCAAGTTGATGGAGTTTAACTTAGGTACTGATAAACAGACTTTCTTGTCTAAGCTTATCAAATCCATTTTCATTTCCTATTTGGAGAATTATATTGAGGTGGAGATTGGATATTTGAAAAGCAGAAGTGCTATGATCCTACAGCGCTATTATGATTCAAAAAACCATCAAAAGAGATCCATTGGCACAGGAGGGTGAGTGTTTATGATAAATTTTATATAATAAGACTAAAGATATTAAGAACTTTATTATATTTGGACAGAGTTGTCAAATATTGAGTCATTGGAATTTTCTATGAAGAACTCTTTTAATCCAATTTGTTTATAATATTGATCAAATCCTGTCCCTTGAACCACATGTTAAACATGACCTAACATAATATAATTAAAATATAAAGCAGAATACCAGTCCTATAAAGAGCTCTATAGATTCTTTTTTAGTTTCAAACTCATTAAAGTATTTCAGGTCATTAACTAGGAAGCACATTATTTTTTTGTTGATTATTACAGGTGTGAAAAAAAAAAACCAGCCAATAGACAGTTCACAGTTTAGGTACCCTAAGCTTTTTAATGACTTGTACATAAAATTATTTAATTAATACCTTAAAACTTGTGATTATTCACATACTAGAAGGTAGTGATTTTCTGAAAGAATTGGTGGCACCTCAGTAATCCAGATCTCAACTATCTAGAACCCAGTTGATTCTAGGATGAAGCAGAATGACTTCTGTGGAGCCATATAACCAGGGTCCAGAGTCCACATACATACATTCAAGTCAGTATTTTATTTCCCAGTTTGTTGTATATTAAATAATGATCAGGGGGAAGTTACAATTAGGAATAAAAATTGACGGCTGAGAGGCAGTAGCAAGTAAAGAAAAAGAAAAACTAAAGAACAATCAAACATTTTTAAGTAAATTAGTTCACAGTAGTCTGGAGCTACATATTCTAAGATAAAAAAAAAAAAATCTAACCTAATGATACCACCATATAATAAACGTTCAGAGTGACCCTTTAGTCATTAAGGAAAGCTAAATTATGTTGAACATATCTTGTTTAATAATAATGAAGAAATGTTTATTGGGATTATTATAACCATTATATTTAAATTGTTTAATATATTTTAAAAACATTACATTTTAAAGATTATTTTAAGCAGGACCATTTAGTTATCTGGAATACTAACTTATTTGGAGTAGCCCACTTCCTACAAAATAGAACAAGGACTTCTTGGCTATCAAGTTAGAATTGTAGAGCTGAAAGAGCCTTTAGAGATCATAACTCTGAATCTCCTAATTTTTCAGGTGAAAGTCGTCTGTTTAGAGCAGTGGTTCTCAACCTTCTGGCCCTTTAAATACAGTTCCTCATGTTGTGACCCAACCATAAAATTATTTTCGTTGCTACTTCAAAACTGTAATGTTGCTACTGTTATGAATCATAATGTAAATATCTGATATGCAGGATGGTCTTAGGCGATCCCTGTGAAAGGGTCTTTCGACCGCCAAAGGGGTCGCGACCCACAGATTGAGAACCGCTGGTTTAGAGATTTAAGGCTCACTTCTCTTTTCAGAGCTAATTATTGCAATTAGAACTTTTAGATCTGGCTATTGGTCCATTTTTTTATTGTTGTTGATGTATACTAACTTTGAGAGTACTTGAAATGAAAATCTATGTATAGTGAAGTGTTCTTTTTTAATTGGTTAATATGATGCTCTAGTATTCAAGATTTGAAAGAGAGAATTAGACAACGTACCAACTTACCTTTGGGGCCAAGTATCGATACTCATGGGGAAACCTTTCTGTCCCAAGAAGTGGTGGTTAATCTTTTACAAGAAACCAAACAAGCCTTTGAAAGATGTCATAGGGTAAGAGTAATTGTAAATTTATTTTATTTATATATAGTTGTGTATTTTAAGTTTTGCCTCATTTATACTAAGATATAAATCTGCTGTCTGGTTAGGAACAACTATTTTTTTTGTAATAAAAATATATAGGATTTTTGTTTTAGAGAACAAAATTACTTTAAAATTATTTAGAAGTACATTTGTAAAAATGTTACGGTATGACACACCTAGGTGGGTGATGGGTATATTTGGTACAGTAATATATTTAATTTTCTGAATACTGGAAATATGTTAAAATATTTCTAAATATAGTTCAACATGTATCTCAGATTGTCCAACATGTAGCTGTCAACATTATACAGGGTGGGGCAAAAGTAGGTTTACGGTTGTGAGTAAATGAAACAGTTTATTCTTGTGTTAATATTTATTAATTATTGTATTATTTTCCATATAAACAACTATAAACCAACTTTCTCCATACCCCATATTTATTGTTTGAATCATAGCAACTCTAAATCATCACCTTCTGCCTGGAAAGTCACAAGATTAAAATTCAGTTCAATTCAGTGCAACCCGATCCAACAAATTATGCGTTTACTTTGTGCCAGCTGCTGTGTTAGACATTGAGGATATAAATATTAGATACATACACTACTTTTGAATAGTATGGAGAAAGAAAGTCAACATGTAAAGAATTGATGCAAAGTTTGTCTGCACTGTTGTGACCAAAGAGGAAGCAACCAGTTCTGTCTGGTTAAGGAATTGAAAAAAAGTATATCAGGAAAGGTTTCAAAAAGGAGGCATTTGAGACCTAGATCTTCAAAGCTAAATAGGTCATCTTTAGGAAGATGCTGCTAGCAGGCTGTTTCAGGTAGAGAGAATAATATATGTACAAAAACATATACAAAGATCAATTATGCAGCATGAAATGCTTGAAATAAAAATGTACATGAAGAGAGGAGGTTGAAAAGATAGAGAAGAACTCTCTGTATACCATGCTTACAAATTTGGACTTGACCTTGTAAATGATGATGGCAGCTTTAAAGGATATAAAAAAGGGCAGTGTAATATAATAAGCAAGCAGGTTGGTTTTTATTTCCTTTTTACCCTTTGCACTCCGAACCATTCTGGACATTGGCTACCAGCTACTCGACGCTACTTTGCGGCGGAAACGTGCATTTACAGACCCTCGTATTATTTAGTATAATTTTGGAACCAAGTAACGTATTATAATGATATTGGACTTATATGAATTGGGTGACATCGAGGAATGTATATTTGCAAAAAAAAACAATATTTTATTGTTTATAATTTTGTACAGTATGATAAGTTTTGTAACACTCCCCAATATGCATTGCAGGCTGATTAGTGCATGTTTGACAGTAATAAGTGGTTTGACGCCTGCCACCAGGTGTTTTCCTGTTAGAACACACAATGCAGTCCCATTTTCTTTGTCCCACATCGGGAATATGTAGTTTATTGTTTAATCCGACACAAAACCCGCTGACATTTCTTGTATATATCTTAGTAATTTTACAATATTTTGATTTAATTTCTTGTGCCATTTCAAGATAAAACTTCAGGGAAACATGGATGTCTCAAAAAGTTGCGTTGAAATAACTCAATTCCCTGTAATCACTAATAAACTGCAATGTCCCCTGAGAGGGGACATCCGAGTGATATGCTAGAATTCCGATGTCCCCTGAGAGGGGACAGCGGAGTGCAAAGGGTTAAAAAATAACTTTGAGCCCTAGCCGGTTTGGCTCAGTGGATAGAGCATCGGCCTGTGGACCGAAGGGTCCCTGGTTCGATTCCAGTCAAGGGCACATACCTCAGTTGCAGGCTTCTCCCCAGCCTGGGCCCTGGTTGCAGGAGGCAACCAATCGATGTGTTTCTTTCACATTAATGTTTCTATCTGACTTTCCCTCTCTCTGAAAATCAATGGAAAAATACCCTCGGGTGAGGATTAAAAAACAACTTTGACATTCAATAAATTGCATATATTAAAAAATTAAGTAAATTTGATAAATTATGTGTACAGTTGGAAGCTATAACTAGTCAAAATAATGAAAAGATTCATTACATCAAAAAGTTCACTCTTTCCCTTTTATCATCTCCTTTTTCCCTACCTCCACTTCTATTGTCAGGCAACTCCTGATCTATTACATGTCACTACAGGTTAGTTTTTTAAAAGAGGGCACATTTGAGGACTAAGTCTTAAAAGCTAAAAAGGATGTCTTCAAGAAGATTAATTTTATAGAATTTTTTATAAATGGAATTATAGTATAGTATATAGATATGTTTCTGTCTCCTTTCACTCAGTATAATTATATTGAGATTCATCCATGTTTTGTGTATGTATTAGTATGTTCCTTTTCATTTTTGGTAGTATTTTATTGCGTGTATGTACCTAATTTGTTTATTAATTTACCTATTGATGGAAGTTAAGATTGGTTCCAGTGTTTGACTATGACGAATGAAGTTGCTATGAACATTCATGTAATATGTCTTTACGTGGTCAATGCTTCCATTGCTCTTGGGTATATACTTAGTAACGATATTGTAGTAGTCATCAAGATACTGCCAGTTTTCCAAAGTTATTGTTTCATTTGACATTCCTACCAGTAGTGTGTGAGTGTTCCATTTTTTCCATATGATGTGATCTCCAGTATTTGCTATGATGAGTCTTTTTAATTTTAGACAATTTAATAGGACGTGTAGTCATACCTCATTATGGTTTTATTTTTGAATTTCCTAATAACTGATGATGTTGAGTATCTTTTCATGTGTCTGCATTCCACGTTGGGTGGGACAAAAAAAAGCTTTACAGTTGTTCATATGGAAAATAATAAATAATACAAGAATAAACTCTGTGCTCACAACTGTAAACCTACACTTACCAAACCCTGTATATATATTTTTGATGTATTTTTGTACATTTGTAAAATTAGGTTGTCTGAATTTGAGAGGTAATTTTCTAACTTTTTAAGAGATATTTTCTCATCATAACTACTAATAATTCTTTTACTGAATAGTTAATCAGCACCAGCATCAATATCAAAATGAATATATATTATTGTGGGTTTACTATGTGCTAAATATTATGTTAAAAGTACTTTATAGCCGAAACCGGTTTGGCTCAGTGGATAGAGCATCAGCCTGCAGACTGAAGGGTCCCAGGTTCGATTCCGGTCAAGGGCATGTACCTGGGTTGCGGGCACATCCCCAGTGGGAGGTGTGCAGGGGGCAGCTGATCGATGTTTCTCTCTCTCATCGATGTTTCTAACTCTCTATCTCTCTCCCTTCCTCTCTGTAAAAAATCAATAAAATATATTTTAAAAAAAAAATAAAAAAAAATAAAAGTACTTTATAGTACATGCATTTTCATATTTTATTCTCACCTCAAGACTAGGATGTAAGTATGATTGATATTATTCCCACCTTGCAAATGAAGAAGTTGAGGCTTTGTAGGGTTAAATAACATCTCAAGGGTTCACTCAACTAGGAAGTGATGAAGCTAGGATTTGAGCCTTTCATATTTTATAGCACATCAATTTATTGATTTCCCCATCTCATCCCCCAATAAAGAGTACTTTTTGTTTTGAGTATTGGTGGCTCAAACTTTTTTGACCATACCCCCCAATAAGAAATGCACTTTACATGGCAGCTCAGAATATGTACTATATGTGTGCGTGTGTATGCATGTATGTATTTCATGAAACTATATTTGGTTTTACTGTGTACATCAAGAGGGATTTTATTATATTTTATTTTCTATTGGTTCTCTCTCCTTTCTCGTCTCTTTCTTATCACAATCCACTAATGGGATTGCAATCCAGGTCAGAAGAACATTATTGATCTAGTCTAAGCCAGGAGAGTTGTAGGCAAATATGGAGCATTGTATGTATGTGAGAGAGGCACTGGAAGTGGGAAAGAAGAGGTGTAAGTTATTATTTTGATACCTGAATACTGATTACATCTTATACAAAGTTGATTGCTGAAATAAAAATGTTGCCTTTTTTTAAAGGTAGACTTGAGTGATGTATTTGTTTTTTGTTTTTAAAGCTCTCTGATCCTTCTGATTTACCAAGGAATGCCTTTAGAATTTTTACCATTCTTGTGGAATTTTTATGTATTGAGCATATTGATTATGCTTTGGAAACAGGACTTGCTGGTAAGTATATTTGTGCTATAATTTGTATCAAATTCCTTTGATCCTGCTAGGTTAAATTATATGCATGTTTTACATATATTCAGCTCTATGTCGAATTTAGTTTACTGCAATGAATAATGCTTTTTGAGCTATAATGCAAGGATTTGTCAGATGCTGAAAGCTATACAAAGACACAGTTCTTTCATATTGCTCACATCAAGCAGGACAGGGTAAAATTCCAGAAGTGAAATGACCAAAGTGTGTTACAAATTCTTAAGAATTCTATACATGTAAACTGTTTTCCTAAAGGCTTTTTATTTCACTAATTTACACTGCTCCTGGCATGTATGACTGTGCCAGTTTTTCTGCACATCATTAAATACTTTTATTGAAAACTTTAATAATTTAGTGGTTAAAATATGTATACATACCTTAATTTTCATGTCTTTCATGAATAGCAAGGATTAATATTTCCTACTTGTGTATTGATTATACTTTTTTCTCTTGTAAGTTTATGTTGGAGCCTTTAATTTTCTTATCAGTGAGTGATTTTGTCTTTTGTGGGAAAATAAAGCACCTTTGATTTTCTTTTTTCTTTTTTTTAATATATTTTATTGATTTTTTACAGAGAGGAAGGGAGAGGGATAGAGAGTTAGAAACATCGATCAGCTGCCTCCTGCACACGCCCTACTGGGGATGTGCCCGCAACCAAGGTACATGCCCTTGACCAGAATCGAACCTGGGACCCTTGAGTCCGCAGACCGACGCTCTATCCACTGAGCCAAACCGGTTAGGGCTGATTTTCATTTTTAAAACTTTGAAAAAATCATCATCATATAAAGAACTCTAGGTATTTTTATTTCCTCATTTCCTGTGAATATTTTTCCTCATCCCTTATGTCTTTTATTTATTTATTTTTCCATCAGATAATTTTTCCCCAAGGCTTTGTTTGCTCTTAGATAATACAGTATATTTTGGATTTTACTTTTTTTTTTAATTGAATGTATTGGGGTGACATTGGTTAGTAAAATTATATAGGTTTCAGGTATACAATTCCATAGTACATCATCTGTATATTGTATTATGTGTTCACTACCCCAAGTTAGTCTCTGCCCATCACCATTTATCTCCCCTATAACCTCTTTTATTCATCTTCCCTCTCCTCCCCCCTCCCCTTCTTCCCCTCTGGTAATCACCATACTACTGTCTGTGTCTGTGAACTTCTTTTTTTTCCTCTTTGCTTAATCCCTTCACCTTTTTCACCCAGCCCCCAATCCCCTTCCCCTCTGACAGCTGTCAGTCTGTTCCCTAGAAACGTAAGTATCCAGGGTTAGAGGGACCTTAGAGTTTATCTATTACTGTTACTCTTTTATAAAAAAGGGGGAATTGAAATTTGGAACAGTCAGCTGTCCTTTGGGGGGCCAGAATGTGGAGTAGCCTGAATACTATTCTGAAAATTAAGGATTTATTTTGGCCTTAGCTGGTTTGTCTCAGTGGATAGAGCGTCGGCCTGAAAGGTCCCAGGTTCGATTCCAGTCAAGGGCACATGCCCAGGTTGTGGGCCCGATCCCCAGTAAGGGGCTGTGCAGGAGGCAGCTGATCAGTGATTCTCATTATTGATGTTTCTGTCTCTCCCTCTCCCTTCCTCTCGGAATTCAATAAAAATATATTTTAAAAAAGAATTTATTCTGTAAACAGTGAGCAGAATATTTTTGAGGCAGTAGTGGAGAATATGGTGAGTGAAATGAGTAAGTTTAAATATGTTGCTATTGCATAAAAATAAACAGATTTGAACCACGAAGCTAGTTTTAAAATTGTTTTAACTGTTATCAGAGATAAAGAGACCTGGCTACAAGAAAAATGGTAGAAGTGTGTTCATGACTCAAGTGATTCATTGGGCACAAGAGAGTGGAAAAAGGAAGAAACATGTATAGTTTAAGATGATGCATTGATTGATTGATTTATCTCATCAAATAATGAAGACTGTAGATGGTGAAAAATTGGGCATAAAAACTTTGGATTAATTTTGTTATGGTTATTAAGTTTAATTTTACTTTTCTGTGAACAAAAATCATTGTTGGTTTATTAAGACAGTAATTACTTTTATTCATGTTGTATATACAAAAACCACATTCATTTTTCTTTTGCCAAGATGAACTCCTTAAAGTATGATTCTAACATATACACACATGCCTTCCAACTTTAGGAATTCCTTCTTCAGATTCTCGGAACGCAAATCTCTATTTTTTGGATGTTGTGCATCAGGCCAATACTATTTTTCATCTTTTTGACAAGCAGTTTAATGACCACCTTATGCCACTAATAAGGTTAGTCAAATTTTCTTTGGTATTTCAGTAAATATAATATTCTACAAATTTTTTTAAATATTAAAATACATGTTCATAGTAACATCAAATGGAAAGGTATGAAATTAAAAGTAAAGGTCTTTTGCCTTCTTCCTTGTCTCCTATTTTCTGTGGTATTCATTTTGATTTATTTGAAAAGACTGAATCTCATGTCATAAACCTATATCTGATGTGAAAGAAGATCTCTAGCTTGTACCCAATTGTAACATAAAGACATACAACACAAATTTTATGAGAGTAATAGGATAGATTTTGATGAGGCATTAAGTAAAATTTGGTTTATATCTTCCTATCTATTTATGTGAATTTTTAAAGCACATGAGGATTAAATTAAACATTGTATATGTTAACATGCTTTATAAAACTATATGTGTACTTTATTATTAAAGAGGAAAACTATTAATATAAAGGATAAAATTCCAGGCATTTTGCTGTAAACATTGATATGCCAAGACATTAGTTGAGAAACAATCCCAAAGATATAAATCACTTGTGATCTGTGAATTACACTTTGAAAGGAAATTTACTTATTCTCATAGCAGAGAATTCACATAACTACTAGGGAAGCATATTTCCTGTTATTTTGGGTTATTTTGATATTTAGGTAGCATTCAGAAGGCAAATATTACTGTCAAGTTTTTTTTGTTTTGTTTTTAATATAAGAAAGCTAAATGCAACTGTTGGTCTCCAAATTTTAATTAGTATAATTTACTATGTTCTTGAGACTCTGGTGATAGTCTGTAACTTTTCTTACGATTATAACAGATATTTAATAAACAAGAAAACCAAATAATGCCAAAATTTCAAAATCACATTTTTATATTCTTAAGGGATGGCTTCTCAGAGCTGAAAGTAACAAATCTAAATATTGTTTTTCTCTGTTAACTTACTATTATAATGAATACTAAATACAGTTGACTCTTGAACAATGTGGGGGTTAGGGATGCCAACCCCCCTAACTTCTTCCTCAGTAAAAAAATCTGTGTATAACTATTGACTCCCCAAAAACTTAACTATACTAATAGTCTGTTGACTGGAAACCTTACTGATAAAATAAATAGTAGATTAACACACATTTTGTACATTATATGTATTATATGCTATATTCTTACATTACAGTAAGCTAGAGAAAAGAAAATGTTATTAACAAATTATAAAGGCCTGGCTGGGCATGGCTCAGTGGTTGAGCATCGACCTATGAACCAAGAGGTCATGGTTCGATTACTGGTCAGGGCACATGCCAGGTTGCAGGTTTGATCACCAGTGGGGAGCATGTAGGAGGCAGCCGATCAATGATTGATGCTTCTATCTCTCCCTCTCCTTTCCTCTCTGAAATCAATAAAAATATATTGTGTGTTTTTTTTTAAAAAAAATCATAAGAGAAAATACATATACGTATTTATTGAAAAAAAATCCATGTCTTAGTACACCCACACAATTCAAACCCATGTTGTGCAAAATCAACTATAATTACTTTACTACTTATGCAATTTTTGGATTTGAGAGCATATTAAAACATGTATGTGTATAAATGTATATAACAATACACATATGAATATGAAAAACTTCAAATTGTAAGGCTACTAATGTGATTTTTTTTCTTTAAACATTCAATAGCTCTTCTCCTAAGTTATCTGAATGCCTTCAGAAGAAAAAAGAAATAATTGAACAGATGGAGATGAAATTGGATACCGGTATTGATAGGCAAGTTGTTAGTTTTACTTTTTCTCTTACATTTCTAAAAATTATAAAAACACGATTATCTATATTATAAAAGGCCAGTGGCCGGAACGACCAAATGACTGGTCACCAGGAGGTGCATGGAGCACCTCTTGGTCCCTCCCCACGGCCCATGAGCTGCTCGCGGCGGTGGGGCAGGGCTCTCGGCTCAAGTGGCATGGGGCTCGCGGCTTGTGTGTTGCAGTGGCTCGCGGCAGCGAGCTACTCACGCGTGGTGGGTCTGGGGTCCCACCATCACTGCGGGTCTGGGTCTCGCGTGACTTCGCATGCTGCGCCTCTACTAGTAGTATAAAAATGGTTTTCAGAAAAGAAAAAAGTGTTAATTTTACCATCCTGCTCTACAATTTGACTTTATTTTTATTTTTTGTTTTGTTTTGTTTTTTTTTTGTTTGTTTGTTTGTTTGTTTGTTTGTTAGACACACTGATTTTTGTGTGTTGATTTTATATCCTGCCTCTTTGCTAAATTTATTTATTAGTTCTAAAAGTTTTCTCGGTGAGGAATCATTAAGGTTTATATATATAAGGTCATATCATCTGCAATCATATTGTGGAATCATAACAATTTACCCTGAATGTATCTCCATCTTCTCCAATACTGTTATAGTAGTGAAAATGGGTTGTATTGCTTTTATCCTTCTTAGAATATTATTTTTATTAGTTCCTTAAGTTTATTATTTCTGGAAGCCAGTATATTTATATTTACTTTTAAACCAAATTCAGTTAAAAATCTTTTTGTAACCCCCTCCACACACACACACACTTATTCTCTCTCCTTCCTTCTTTCTCCAATATGTAACAGAGGATTTTATTTTCATTTAGAATTTTCAGGCTTATATATGAAATGCTTTAAGTAAATATAGTACTAATTTTCTAAAGGTAACTTCCACTAAGTGAATGCAAACTCTACATTAAAAATATTTTTATAATGTTTATTGTAGTTAATTACCTATTCTTAGTATAGTGCAGTGGGTCTTTTCTTTCTTTTGAGATCATGGTGGGCATATATTTATTGATGATTATAATAGCTACTATGTATCAAGCATTTGCTATGTGCTAGGCACAGTGAAATAATCTTTGTATTATTTCATGTATTAGGTAGGAAATATTTTTCTATTTTACAGATGAGGAAATGGAGGCTTAAAGAAATTAAATAATTTGCTCAAGATTACTCAGTTAATGTTGGTAGAGCTGGAACTCAAATTCTTAAGCCCATTGTACTAGGTCTGGGCATATCTTTCTTTTTTACTGTAATTCTACTCCTCTCTCTCCTATTCAGGAAAGTATGTTTGAATGCAAGTCTAGTTATTGTGCTGTTATGAAGAAAACCTGGAATCCACTTTATTTTATTATAAAGTAAATAATTTTTACTTTATTAGTACTAACAAACTTGCGACTCACTTCCTAGTTTTCTTCTAAGATCAAGAACTACCATAGAATATGTGACAATAAGGGGGGAAAATAAAATTGAAGAATAAAACGAAAAACAGGATGTTACAGAATTAACTACTGAGACTGGTTTACTGAAGAATTAGAAGAATCCTAGACACTGGTCTCTCCCTTTGTTTTTAGTCAGGACCACATGAGATTATACATACATAAAACTTCTTTTAATAAAATTATAATGTATACATTATGTACATGATAATCATTACTTAAAGAACGTATGTGTTTTTATAATCTAAATCCCTCATGCTAACTTGTTTCTTGCTTTGCCTCAAGACTACCTGAAAATCATGTTTCAGAGGTGGGGGAAGTTGAATATGTTAAGCCTTCCAAAGTATAGGAAGTACAAATTTCCTAGTTGTCTTCTTCATATATATTAGGTCATTTATTTTTATCTTACATGTAAGCCTCAGTTTCAGAGTATTTACATTAGTTGTCTAATTGAAGGCACAGTGGTCTGTGGTGGTCTTTTGAATGTGAACTTCAGTTCTCCTTTACCATGTGTGGTGAGGCCAAGAGGTGCGCTCATCATTCACCTGCATCCCTGCTGATATTTTCAGACCAATATCTATCTACTGTTAGGCTCTTTGCCTTTGAAGCTCACATCATCTCCCCCCCCCCCCCCCCACACATACACACCTTTTTTGTTGTTGTTAATCCTCACTTGAGGATATTTTTTCCATTGAGTTTAGGGTGGGTGGGAGGGGGCGGGAGAGAAAGAGAGAGAAACATCCATGTGAGAGAGACATATCAATTGGTTGCCTCCCCTACCCCGACCAGGGCCGGGGATAGAACCTGCAACCCAGGTATGTGCCCTTGACTGGAAATCAAACCCCCTACTCTTTGGCTGACACTCTAACCATTGAGCAACATCAGTCAGGGATTCCCCCCCCCCCCTTTTTTTTTGCTGTTATCTCTCATTTATATCAGTTTCCTAAATTTGTTGAGGCTTTGGGCATCTGATTCACAATTTTTCTTTAAATCTTAAGTCTTAGGTTATTTCTACTTCCATGTGTGTGACACAGTCATTTTCTTAATAATCTCCACATTAGCTATCCATTTTCATATCCTGTTCAACCTTGTTATCACTGGTAACAAAAACCTTGAATCTGCGTAATCCCACTCAGTGCTCACAACCTCCTCTTCTTCCAACCTGCTTTCTGACCTCAGAGGGAACTCTAGCCCTTAATATTGTCATCATTTGCTAGTCTCCCATTCTTTTCCTAGCTTTACTTGATTCATTATTATGCTTAGATTGCTTGATTCATCCTTGAATTACTCTCATAATTACCCTAAAATTCATTTTATTTAACCGTAACTATCTTAAATATTCTAAACTCTGGATCAGTGCAGTCTTTTTTTATTCTCATAACTAGGTGACTGATTACTATTGGAGAATATCACATAACTCAAACATTATTGGGGTTCTTATAAACCCATGCTAGGTGTTCAGTGTTACTTGTCCCCAGCCTCCTGCTTGTCTTCAGACTATGAAACTCATGTTCTTCTCACCTGTTCTTCCATATTTAGGCATTCTTCTTAAGCCCTCTATCTTTCCCCTTTTCTAAGCATTATTTATATATACTTTTTAAGGAAGTATGTATATACAGGCTTCTAAGATTTTAAAGATTTAAATGAAGTATTGGGTAAATGAATCTTTACCTCGTTTTGAGCAGGAAGCTAATAAAACCGAGAGTTCTTTGACATCAAGAGAAATCCAGAGTCTATCAATAGTAAAATAGTTATTTGTTTTTTTAAATATATTTTTATTGATTTCATAGAGCAGGGAGACAGAAACATCAATGATGAAAGAGACTCACTGATGGGCTGCCTCCTGCATGCCCCCTACTGGGGACCGAGCCTCCAACCCAGGCATTTGCTCTGACCGGGAATCAAACTGTGACCTCCTGGTTCATAGGTCGATGCTCAACCACTGAGCCACGCTGGCCGGGCAGTAAAATAGTTTTCTGGTGATATTAAATTAAGTAACTTTAATTTAGCCCTGGCCAGGGTTTCTCAGTGGTCAGAGCATCAGCTTGCGCACATAAGAGTATTGGGTTCAATTCCCAGTCAAAGGCTTGTATCTGGGTTGCAGGTTCATCCCCGCCCCAGTTAGGGCCAGTCCGAATGGCAACCAATTGATGCTTTTCTCTCCCCCTCCCTCCATCCCTTCCACTCTCTCTAAAAAGCAATGGAGCCCAGCCAGTCAACATGGTGGGCTCGATCCCTGGTGGGGGGCATGCAGGAGGCAGTTGATCAATGATTCTTTCTTATCATTGACTAGTGGCCCAGTGCACGAAATTTGTGCACGTTAAAAGGGGATTACTTAGAGGAAATATTTTAATATTGCTATTTGCCCTTTCTCTATAATAGAAGTGTCAGAGATGAAAGAAAATTAGTAAAATGTATATGAAAATATTCCTCCTGTCAGAGTCTGGGGTGCACCATGGGACCCAGAGTCAAGTCCCCACCCGCCCACATGTGCCTCAAAATTGTGTCAGACCCAGACCCAGACCCAGACTCGGCTGGCCCCTCTACCCCCATTGGGCTAGATCAGCCGTGGGCAAACTACGGCCCGAGGGCCGGATCCGGCCCGTTTGAAATGAATAAAACTAAAAAAAAAAAAAAGACCGTACCCTTTTATGTAATGATGTTTACTTTGAATTTATATTAGTTTACACAAACACTCCATCCATGCTTTTGTTCTGGCCCTCCGGTCCAGTTTAAGAACCCATTGTGGCCCTCGAGTCAAAAAGTTTGCCCACCCCTGGGCTAGATCCAGACCTGGCCGGTCCCACCCTTGTCAAGCCCCGCCGGATGAGGGGCGATAAATATTTTAATACTGCTATTTGCCATTTCTCTATAATAGAAGTGTCAGAGGTGAAAGAAAATTAGTAAAATGTATATGAAAATCTTCCTCCTGTCAGAGTCTGGGGTGCACCACGGGACCCAGAGTCAAGTCCCCGCCCACCAACATGTGCCTGAAAATCGCACAAGACCCAGACCCAGACCCGGACCTGGCTGGCCACCCCGCATTGGGCTAGATTCAGACCCGGCTGGTCCCACCCTTGTCAAGCCTCGTCGGGCGGGGGGCGCAGCCTCAGGTCCCCTGGCCCGGCGCCAGGGCGGGGGGCACGGCCTGAGGTCCCCCAGGCCGGGGCGGGGGGTACACCTTGAGGTCCCCCATCAAGCCCCGCTGGGCGGGGGTGCAGCCTCAGGTCCCTTGCCAAGCCCTACTGGGAGGAGGGGCACAGCCTCAGGTCCCCCGTCAAGCCCTGCTGGGAGAGGGGCATGGCCTGAGGTCCCCCGGCCTGGGGCAAGGGGAGCAGCCTGAGGTCCCCCGGCCCAGCACTGGGGTGGGGGGGCACACCTTGAGGTCCCCCGTCAAGCCCCACTGGGCGGGGGATGCGGCCTCAGGTCCCCCAGCCCGGCGCCAGGATGGGGTTTGTGGCCTCAGGTCCCCTGGCCCGGTGCCAGGGCAGGGGGTTGCGGCCTGAGGTCTCCTGTCAAGCCCCGCTGGGCAGGTGGGCGTGGCCTGAGGTCCCCCAGCCTGGTGCCGGGGTGAGGGGAGCAGCCTGAGGTCCCCCATCAAGCCCTGCTGGGCAGAGTGTGTGGCCTAGGTCCCCCATTAAGCCCTGCCGGGTGGGGGGCATGGCCTGTGGTCCCCTGGCCTGGTGCCTGGACTGGGGGCGTGGGCTGAGGTCCCCCGTCAAGCCCTGCCAGGTGGGGGCGCAGCCTGAGATCCCCTGGCCTGGCGCCAGGATGGGAGGTACGGCCATTGGTCCCCTGTTGAGCCCCACAGGGTCCGGGGAGAGGGGGCAGCGCAGCCTCAGGTCCCTGCTGATTGCTTGTTAAGGCTTGTTATGGAAACTCAGCCTCCGCTTTGGGTGCAGCCATCTTGTATTACGGAAACCCCACCCCTCCATCTCTGCTGTGGGTGCTGCCATCTTTGTGGTGGACTGATGATCAATTTGCATATTCCCTCTTTATTATATAGGATGTTTCTATCTCTCCTTCCTTCCTCTCTGTAGTCAAAAAGATCTTTAATAATAAAAGCATAATATGCTAATTAGACCAGACAGCCAAATGACCTTCCAGATGTCCTTCTGGACAAAGATGCTGCGGCGGGGGCCAGGGCAGAAGCAGTTAGGGACGATCAGGCAGGCAGAGTGGATAGGGGTGATCAGGCAGACAGGCGAGCGGTTAGGAGCCAGTGGTCCCAGATTACGAGAGAGATGTCCGGTTGCCAGTTTAGGCCCGATCCTGCAGGACCCCTGCAGGATCGGGCCTAAACCACAGTCGGACATACCCCAAGGGGTCCCGGATTGCGAGAGGGTGCAGGCCGGGCTGAGGGACACCTCCCCCCCGACCCCCCTCTCCCGGGCACAAATTTCTTGCACCGGGCCTCTAGTCTATATATAAAAGAAAAGCAATGGAAAGGTTATCCTCAAATTAGGATTAACCAACAAAAAAAAGGAAATTTTAATTTAACTTAGTATAAATAATATAAATAAGTTAAACAGATCAAATACATGCTGTTCTCAATTCTCTAGGACATTAAATTGTATGATTGGACAAATGAAGCATATTTTGGCTGCAGAACAAAAGAAAACAGACTTTAAGCCAGAAGATGAAAACAATGTTTTGATTCAGTATACTAATGTGAGTAAAATTATTTGATATGTTAGTAAGAATATCTGCTTTCTTAATACTTGTGTTAACATTTTCATTGGTGTATCTAACTATATTCTATAGTCTGTTTCTTTTTATACTTAGATTTTAATGAGAAACTATATGTATTTTCTCCTTAGCTAACATGATACACATTTCTGTGTAATAATTGTAGAAAAATTTTACAGGCCTGTGTTAAAGTCTGTGCTTATGTAAGGAAACAAGTAGAGAAGATTAAAAATTCCATGGATGGGAAGAATGTGGATACAGTTTTGATGGAATTTGGAGTACGTTTTCATCGACTTATTTATGAGCATCTTCAACAATATTCCTACAGTTGTATGGGTGGCATGTTAGCAATTTGTGATGTAGCTGAATATAGGAAGTGTGCCAAAGACTTTAAGGTATGTATTCATAAATATCAAACTTGTAAATTGGCTCATGAACATATGTCAGACCATTAAAAATCTGTACTGACTTATCATTTGTGTAAAGTTTATAACTTTTGTTGATACTATAATGACATATAACATTTCCTAACTGAAAAAAGTACTCTAATTATATTTCCAATATTAATACATTTTGCTTCATGCTTTATTTTAGACAAAGTCGTATTTCTATTCCACAGTCCAAATGACCTATTGACTTCCATTACTAATGCTGTATATGTCACACATCAGCAAAATATATTCCCTCTTCGTGTACTTCTCCCTGAAGTCACTTTTTCTTAAGGTTTAAATTAAGAAAAGTGCTAAATAATGATAATTAGTTCTAGTCCACAAAAGTATAAATGATTGTTACTATTGAAGAAAGTTGACAAGATATGTATCTTTTCAGGAAGATTATAGCTAAGTTTATGTAATGATTGAAATATTTGAGTTTTAACACTACAGGAGCTTTTAAAAATTCTAATATATTAAACTATCCCACATTAGTAAGTTCTGACTGACAGTTATACGTGAGAAGAATTTACAGAATAATTGTAAAACTGGAAATTATTTTAATGTTTTTTTCTTCTCTTATCTCAATTTAGATCCCACTGGTGTTACAGCTTTTTGATACTCTGCATGCACTTTGCAATCTCCTGGTAGTTGCCCCAGATAATTTGAAGCAAGTCTGTTCAGGTGAACAACTTGCTAATCTGGACAAGAACATTCTTCACTCCTTCGTACAACTTCGTGCTGACTATAGATCTGCCCGCCTTGCTCGACATTTCAGCTGAGGTTGAATTTATAAGGGAAACATGTTGTACTTCAGCAGGCCTTGGTTGATAGAAAGCACAGGAAATTTCTTATGACATAGCCAACACTTTATGGAAAAATGACTGTTTGGAAAAACAGCAGCCATACCCTGGAGATTTTTTTTTTTTTTAATTTGGACTACTAGCCATATTTTATTTTTTCCCCTTACGTTGATTTTTAGTACTGTCCTTGAACATACAAGTTTCACATTCTGTGAAACTACATGTCACGGTTTTCATCCTGGAAAATCTTAGTGTCAGAAGGCAAATGAGATGTTACCAGTGATCCAATTCATGTTCTTTAACATAGTCCACTGGAAAATTTCAACATCCTATTTTATCAATTTTAATGACCTTTTCCGCACTGATGATTGTTAATCAAGTTATTTTAGGTATTCCTAGAGAACTTTTTGCCTCAAAAGGTTACCAATTGAGCGTAATTTCTGTAAATGATTGATTGGATTTTTCTGAGGTACAACTGTAATACTATTTCAAGGAAAAAGTTTTACACTAAACTAAAACGATGAGATGTTTTATGTAGATATTAGGTATGGATCAGAATATATCTGCCTCCTGGGTGAAAAATAAACACCACAACTTAAAGTTTACTATTTCTTATTTGGTAGACAGATTTTAAGTCATTGCTAGTAAATTAATAAAACTACCTTATTTTATATTTCACTTAAGATAAGGTGGAGGACCTTAACATAAGGACCATATTTATTCATTATTTTAATATTATAAGGGAAGTAAAAAAGTGAGGTATAATCTAAATGGTGTATATGAGAAATATTGACAATATTTAGCAACAATGCAATTCTTTAATATTTCGATCTTAATGCTAAATTGGAATAAGATGGGATGGGTAAATATGCAGACAGTCTTCTATTTTAAGAGGAATTGGGAATTGATAGATAACATATACCCCTAAGTCTGGAGGTGAGCTTTGAAAAAGTTAGTTGCTTTTCAAATCAATAACTTCTGTTATCTTTTTTAAGGCATTTCTGAACCAATTCCTAGTGAATATAGTTAATTGAATTGGCTTAATATGGTGACTTAATAAATCACTTATAAAATTTTAAACATCCAGTGGAAATTTAGAAAGGCCATTACTCTATAAACTTGCTCTGTGAGAATGCATTCTTAACTACATGTAATTTCAGCTTCCATTGTATTCATAGCCTTATAGGAACAGATAAACTTTAATGTTCAATTCATTCTTGGTATTTTTTCTCTAAATAGGCTTTTTGGCCTAATTTTGGAAAACTTCTTTTAAGAATGTTTCTGAATGGTCATCCACTTTACCTGAACTTTCAGGTCTAGAGCTAGCTACTGTTTAAGTTACTGTTAACTGAATTTTCTTCTTTTTCTGTTTAGCCCAGTGTTATCAAGGTAAACAAGAGAAATGAAGTATGCCATTTCTTATTAAAGCATTAAGAAAATTGTGGCAGCTTTAGAAGGCTGTCTAGTTTTCTGTTCTTTAGCCAAGGGAGAGCCAGAACAGGTTTTGGATACTAGAGAGAGTTATATGCTTGTACTATTGCCATTTTTAGAAAGCTCTGATGTGAATTCAAATTATACCTCTGTTACTTAAAGCCAACAATTTTAAAGCAGTAGTTTTACTGGCCATTTGAACTCTTTGTATACAGTGTCAATTTGTAAAAAATGGGGAGGAGGGACCTCAAATAAAACATGGGAGAACATTTTAAGACTTCCAAATCAGAGAAGTGCTTTAAATTATTTTGTTTGGATTAATTTTTTAAATGTACAGCATATACTTGTTGCATAGATATTTTGTTTATTATTTCCATGCTTGAGTTCTCTGCAGTATTTTCCATTATGTCCATTGACAGGGCAGTGACAAAACTCAAAAGTGAATACTTAATTTAGAAGTGTTAACATTAATGCTCAATAAACAAATTCCCTGCAATTGTTTTTTTTATTTCACTTCATATTTTACATTTAAGAACACCCATACTGAATTTCATAAATTATTTTATTTAAATTTTTAAGATGTTCCTTAGTTTTCATAGCATAGGTCTTCTCACTTTCTTTTTTAGTAGAGAAATACTTCACTATATAATCAAGATTAGAAATTTCACCTGAACAGATTAAGAAAAAAAATTTTTTGTTGTACAAAGCAACGTGCATTCTTCATATTCCAATTTTTAAAATATTTTTATATTCACAGCCACTATAAAATTTTGCCCAAAATTTATGCTCAAAAGAGATGATTATTGAGTAAAATGTACATGGTAAAATTTCAGATAGCAATATGGAACTTTGTATATTAGTAACTTTAGCCAACGTTTGAATAAGGATAATCTTTGCAATTTTCTGCAGTTTCACATGAATTAACAGGCAATATTTAGGTAATATTTTGAAGTTGAAAATATACTCTAAAACATTGAAAATTAATTATTTTTCTAAAACTTGAGTATATTATGTTTGTATAAAATGGTACAGAAAGTGAAATACAGAACACAAGCTTAAGAAGGAAGTCTAGCCCAGCCAGTGTGACTCAGTTGTTTGAGCGCTGTCCCATATATCAAGGGGTCAATGTTCTATTCCTGGTCAGGGCACATGCCCAGATTGCGGGCTTGATCCCCAGTATGGGGTGTGCAGGAGGCAGTCGATTGATTTTTTTTTTCTCTCTCTCTCTTCCCTCTCCTAAATCAATAAAAACATATTTAAGCCTTAACTGGTTTGGCTCAGTGGATAGAGCATTGGCCTGTGGACTGAAGGGTCCCGGGTTTGATTCCGGTCAAGGGCACATGCCCAGGTTGCCGGCTCAATCGCCAGTAGGGGGTGTGCAAGAGGCAGCCCATCAGTGATTCTCATCACTGATGTTCCTATCTCTCCCCTCTCCCTTCCTCTCTGAAATCAATAAAAATATATTAAAATTATATATGTATATATATATATATTTATTAAAAAAATAAAAGATCAGACTTTCACCAAAAAGAAAAGCTGCTAAGTATCTTAATTTATGATATATTTTAAGCCATTTTCCTTTTAAATATTTTATTATCTGGCTCTTAGTGAAATAATTTAATTATCAGCCAGTAGATTGATTCAAAGTGGAGAATGTACTGCTCCCTTAAAGTGCCTTTTTCTTATCTGTGACGAATATTTACATGTATCCAGATAAAGAGATACATGTAATGTATTTGGTTCCTGAAATACCACAAAAGCCCTCAAGGTGGTCGTGTTTATAAGGCAGTGCCTAAGGCATGCTTGAATTGTATGTGAAAGTAATTAAGGTTCATTCAGTGCATAATTTGTTAGTGACTTAAAAAGTTCACATCTGGTAGTTATACTTTTTTAATGCAAAAATATTCTGCATATTTCCCATGAACTGCCCATTCACTCACAAATGTGAGATGCTTTCTAGTAGCATACTGAGTTCTGATTTCTAATGGAGAATTTCATAGCAAATATTCTGTGCTTTCATCCACTTAGTTTAATTATATTCGGTTCCTGCAGTACTTTTTTTCTGCTTGAAAAACTCTGTCCTGAAATACAAGTGTGCTTAGTTTAGAGTAAAATACCAGCCCATATTGTTAGAGTAAATAATTCTACATTAAAAGCAGCAATTTTTAAATTAATAAAGATAACTACAGCTACATTTATTGATTTAAGTCCTATGCACTATGCTAAGCCCTTTGCATATATTATCTTCTTTGATTCCAAAGCAGCCCTTGGGGTTGGGTACTTTTATATCCATTTGACAGATGCAACACCTAAGGCACAAAAAGGTGAAGTAGACCTGTTAAAGGTGTATAGCTAGGAATAGGCTGAAATTGGAACATCTTTCTTGCTCACTCTATGTTCTGTATACAATTCTCTTTAACATTAAATAGTTCCTTTTGTATAGGCTCAATGGTTTTGGTTAATCTGATTTTATTTCTCATTGTAATGTTTAGATTATGAAGTGGACATACAGTATATCCAATTTAGTATTGGGTTTTTTAAATGCTAGGCAGGTAACTGTGGACTTAACAAGATTGGTCATAGTTTTTAAATTTGTTTTTAAAAATTTTATAAGTGGTCATGAAATTTTAATTGAATATTAATTTTGTACCTAGTAGAAATAGTTCCATAAAAAAACTCTCTTTAGTGAGTATTATTTTACATAATCAATACTGTTTCTGCTTCATAATTTTGTACTAGAAAGAGTCCAGGTATTTTGTATCATATCTTGTAACATGGGAGTAAATGATACCTCTTTGGAAGATATGACGAAATCAGAACTTCTGCCTTCAAAAACAAGACTCTTTTAGTGTCATAAGTTTGCCAGTTCTGTTAGTTAGTGCATTGGTAGTTTTTAAATGGCTAATGCTGGAATTAAAATGTAAAGGAAAATGTACTCAGTTTATTAAGGCTAGGTAGTCATTTTTATGTATCAAAAATTGCATGTTTAATCTTTCTAAAAATTGCCTTAACTCTTAACTTTTACTTCTGCCACTGATCAGTTCTTTTTTTTTTCCTCCAAATTTAGGGGAGAAACAGCCCCTCAAGAGCATATGAGAGAGAAACCTGATATATTAGAGTAAGAATTTTAATTGGAGATTTGGAGCAGCTAGGCAGATAACCATGGGCTTAACAAGATTGGTATTTTTAAACTAGGTCCTGTATACTTTAACACTGTAATATGGGAGTGAACAGTAAACTTCAGTTCTTGTGATTAATGTCACTTTTGGGGGAGAGACAAGTAATTAACCACACTTGCTCATTTTCTAAGTGGTTTAGAAGGCTGCAGTCTGCCACATCATACAAAGCCAATTTAAATATGAGTATATCACATCATACTCCAACAGCAAACAACCTCAGAGGAAAGTCATTTATTCAGAAGGCATAGATTTGTGCTAGACAGCAGTGATGCATTACAAATATATAATTATTTGCACTAATATTTGAGCAGGTGGAATGGATTAGAACATGGTCAACATTATGCTGCTGATAACATGTATTTTTCTATATTAATATGTACTGTGCAACATGTATTAAATTTGTCAATAATTCATTTTAGCCAAGATACTAATATTTATATTACCGTGTTGAAGAGACAGTATCCAACTGAGCCATTTTTAATTTAAAAGTCTGAAACGAATTAAGTTTACTTTCAAAAACCACTTAAATTATAATCACTGGAAGGTCAGTACAACAGAATTATCAGTGTCTAGTCGTGACTAGTAGGAAGGTGCATAGAGGGTTAAGAATAGTAGTAAAAATCTGGAATAAGTTAAGTTTCACTTGTATCTCAGATGAGTGACTTACTCTTGTTTTCAGCATTGGCAATTTTAAGTGAAGGAAAATGTTTATCCCTTCCAGAGTGTCTTCATATTAATAAACTAAGCGTGAAGATTGGATGGAGCCAACACCAAGGAATTAATTTCCAATGGTGGACTGTCAAATTTTTTAGATTAAACTTGGAGACTTAGGAAGCGTTCTTGATGCCCCTGTTATCTTAAATAGGCTGGCGCTTTTGAAAGACCATCCCTTTTTACCTGCCTATCATTTTAACCTTTATACTGTGGGTAAATTTGAACTCTGGTGTTTTGTTATGGCAGTTCTGTTAAATCTGTAGCCTTTTGCTATAGAGAATATTATCCAAATAGGATCTGGAAAATGCTGACCTAAAGAAAACTGTGAAACTACCTCTAAGTATATTGTTTGCAGATGCTGTGTACTATTTAGAGGATTCATATGGAGTTACCAGTATGTGAAAAACTTTATATGGAACAATACTAAGTGCCTCTATATTAGGATTCTCCAGTGGGATGTATTTTTTAATTTTTGCCACATGGGGGAGATGTTATTTTTATAGTAATACCTATATTTTTGTTTGATTTTAAAAATAGAACTCACATAGCTTCTCTGAACAGCACCTATGAACATGTCACTATCCTAACAGAATTCGTGTGTACGTGTGTGCACTTGTGTGCACGTGCTGATTTTTAAATGAAATTCTGAAAGCTATTTGTGAGAAAAATTTTGGGCAACTTAATGACAAAACTAAAACAGTTTTGAAGAACATATGTACACAGTGGACACAGGAGTTGGACAGAGTCCATTGTAATTAAAGTTATGTTTTTTTAGAGTTATATATCTCATGAATTCCTTTATCAACTCTAAGAATCTGTGGATTGGTTCTCTGCATTCTGCTTTTTAAAGAAAAAATTTGAAACAGTCTCAAACTTACAGAAAGGTGGTAAATACAATACAAATAAAAATGTTCCACTTTGAGAGTACGTTGCTGTCATGGTGCCATAACACCCTTTGGTACTTTTGTATTCCCAGGAAGAAGGAATTCCATATAACCACAATACAACCATAAAAACCAGGAAGTTAACATTTCTCCCATGTAATCCTCAGACACCATTCAAATTTCACTAATTGTCCCAATAATGTTTTGTAATGATTCAGTTCAGAATCATCTGTCACCTTAGGTTGTAGGATCTTTTGTTTCTTTCACTCTGGAACAGTTCCTTGTCTTTCCTTGACTTTAGTTACTCTGGCACTTTTGTAGGCCAGTTATTTTGTAAAATGTCTGTCCCTAAATTTGGATTTACTACTGATTAGATTCCAGTTGTGCTTTTTTGGCAGGGATATTACAGAAGCAAATTTGTGCTCTCATTGCATTGTCAGGTAGTACACAATTTCAATTTTCCTCATTTCTGATGATGTTCATCTTGAACAGTTGGTTAAGGTACTACCTATCAGGCTCCTTTACTGTAAATGTACTGTTTTTCCCTCTGTAATTTTTTTTGCAGGGAGGGGTAGTTTTAAACCATCTATATATATAAAAACCTAAGCAACCATTAGGACCAGTCACTATGATGTGCACTGACCACCAGGGGGCAGATTCTCAATGCAGGAGCTGCCCCCTTGTGGTCAGTGAGCTCCCACAGCCAACCTCCCATGGTC